TAAACTCAAGCATTTACTGAGACAGACAAAACATGTGGCTGTTGACCTAAGTGCACTGCGATCACATCAATTCCACTTAATCAGTTAATAAAATTATCGAAGAAATGACTCAGTTTCCCCTATTACTTTTTTTTCAAGTACTAATATTTATCTTATTTATTTTTATTTGTTTTGAAAGAGATTTTGGCACTGGTAGCTTAATGTTGGAATGAATATGCTGTTTATAGTCTCTTTGCACTCACAGTAGCTTTCTGACATCTGATTTCTGTTTCTCTGTCAGTTCTGCCATCTTCTGTGATCACATTCCTAGATATTTAAATTCTCTAACTTGACTGAGACCACCATTCAGCTGAAGGAGAGGATGACGGCAAAATGTGGTCGATAGCATGTGCTCCAGTATGGGATTATGGGATAAAGAGAAGAAGTCAAATCGTTTTTTGGGCCAATATTTTCAAGATCTCAAGACAGGACACCAAATTTTATGGCAGGAAACTTCCTCCTTTCTTTTATTTGACCCTGATTGTGATTTTTAACTATACCATTTGCAGTTGTGAAAAATCTTAGAAACAAATGACCCTTGAACTTTACAATAGACCCAAAATAAAATTTAAATAAAGAATAGCTTCTGCATCAAATACGACAAAACCTATAGGCCTCATTATAGTTAAAAACATCAACCTTTTGAGAATTTTTCATGGACCAAAATTATGAGAACTGCAGATGGCAGACACATCACACTGTCGTAAATATTAGCAGCCATTTAAATTCTGTAAAAAGTCAGAACAGCAATAAATATAAATGTCATGAAAATTCATTATCATTACTAAACTTATGCTTACATTAATGATATGAATATAAAACAATCTTTTCAGTTACAGAAATCACGTTGTAATGAACAAAAAAACTAATATTACATTAAGACTTCATCTTTTTCCTCTTCACCATTCTAAGCCCTTGAAGCTTACTGCCGCAAATGTCACCCAAATCTATTTCACTTTTGTGTGACTGGCATTCTCATTCCAGCTGGTGACTTTAAGTGTTTGTAAGTCTGTCTGTATATTTTTTCTCCACTTCTTTTTGATATGCCATATGGTTTACTGCTTCTCAATTGTTTTTGTGGTAGGCAGTTTTTGTCTCTCTGTGACTTACCTTTGCAAACCATTAGCTGCATTATGCCAGTAATCAGTGGCGATTTAAACAGATTATGAATTTTGTTGTGCATTCTCATTTTCATCTGTTTTGACCTCTGATGGATACAAAGATTCGTCATAGGACTCTGTTTTTTGTAATAAAGCTTCCTTTCTTTTAGCTATTGACATTTCAATTGTGCTCATATTATACTGGGACAGTTTGAACTTATAGTCTGATAAGTACAATATAACTGGCAACGATCACTAGGCAACTTGCTAGGCCTCTGCAAGCCAGATTTGGCCAGTGGTAGGCCAGTTCAAAAGCCCTGTTCAAGGCCATGATATATAAAGGTCTGGTGACCGTTCCTTCCTCATCCTCTTGCCTTTCCCGACAATTCCTAGAAAATTCTGGAAATGTTTGGAATTCAGTGTTGAAGTATAAGCAATTACAGAGGTAATCTAGTATTTGTTTTTAAAAGGTTGGGTCAAAGCCAGAAAACTTCTGATGAAAAAGAATCCTGCCACTTCTTAGAAATAAATCCTGACCACCATCTGGCCAAGCAGTTGCATTAACTACTACTAGACCCCAGCTTTTGCACTAACTAAAAACTTTCAAATAATAAAATGCAAAGACTTTGTACGTTATGTGATGATCTTGTCAGTCAGGTTTTTAGCCATTCTATAAATCTGGTTATCTGGTAATCCTAGTTTCAGCTTCATAGCAAATGGGTCACCCCACAGTTGTTCCGCTCCTGTGCCAACGAAAAACACACATAGCTCACAGTGTCACGCCATGCACTCAACTCAGAAGCTGGGCGACGAAACTATATCCTTCCAGTCTACAAATGGAGCAAAAGTGCAACGGCCACCGCCTGGCAGAAAAAAACAAAACATTTGCCACGGCTAAAAAAAAAATTGTGGCCGTGCCTAGCGTCCATTTCAACCTGAAGCATTATATGAGGTTTAATAAACGGTCACCCCAGCAGTACCCTCATTATTAGCCGGGGAAGGGACTTGGGACATTGCATCCACCAGCAGGCGTCACCCCTACAACAACCTGCCTGCCTTCGTTAACGACTGTTCACCCAACAGCCATGCAGTTCTTTGGCACGAAGGAGACACCTTGAACTTCTACTGAGAGAGGCTGTGCTGTATGGGATAAAACTCAGTGCAATGAAATCGACCCTATGAACTCTAACTTTGTAAAAAAAAAAAAAAATTTTTAAAGGAAAGGTCTCTTGTCCACGCCTTTAGGCGTATAATGCATCTAGGGCTAACCCTATATTTTTATAGAACAATCGGCACAAGATGGGTGAAGTGGTCAGCATCAAGCCAGGTGGACTTACTTCCCCGGACTGCACCCGGTACCTATTCAAGGCTGGGTCAAACTTGGGAGTCAAGGTCATTTTTGAAAAAAAGTCCGGCTCCACCAGGGAGCGAACACACGACCTTCCCATCCAGCACGCGAGCGTCTAGCCGCTATGCCACTGCGACTCCCACTCTCTTTGACTAATAATAATTTCACAATGAGTTATTCATAATACCTTCTCTTCTCTTAAAAATTATGAGGATACAAATACCAGAGAGTTTGAGTTTCCTAACAACCAACTTTTCTGCCTACATAAAATAATTTTGTTGGACTTTACCAGTTTATACTCTTGTTAACAAATTATAAATAAAGAGTTTAGCAAGACTTTATCACAGTTCATTATGCCATTATTAAATATTAAAAATAAAGCATCTTTATGACTTTATCACAGTTCATTATGCCATTATTAAATATTAAAAATAAAGCATCTTTATGACTTTATCACAGTTCATTATGCCATTATTAAATATTAAAAATAAAGCATCTTTATGACTTTGATCACAGTTCAATCCATTAACAAATCAGAAATAAATCATTAATCAATTAAAGGTCCTCATCAGACAACACCCAGGAAACAATAAACTATAAATAATTAATTTAGCAGGACTTCATCACAGCTTTTCATTATCAGTTAATTAATTACAAATAAATAATTCATCAGGAATTTATCACAGCTTTTTAAGTTATGTTAATACATTGAAAATAAACAGTTTATCATGATTTCATCAGAGCTCTTTCACTGACAAGCACACATAAAGGACAGTGTCCATTTCACAGAATATTTTGTATCCGGAAACAGTAAAGGCCATATGCATGCTAGCAGGGCATCAGAAATATGATGCTAGACATAGAGGGCGCCCCATAAGTTCCATACATAGGAAAAATGAACACATCACCACTGTAGTGGAACCTGGATAGTTAGTTAGTTAGTTAGTTAGTTAGTTAGTTAGTTAGTTAGTTAGTTTAGTTGGGTTATCCTCATTGCACTCCGGACATGTCCATAGGTGCTCAGATCCTCCCCTCAGTATGAACCCCAACGTCCGATGGCTAATAGTACCAGTTCTATGTTGATTAACAAGTCTTCTGGCGTAGCTGGTGTGCGTCTCGTTTTTTGATGTGCCGATCTTAATTCCCAAGTCTGCCATTCTGGCGAGTGATGTGGATTCACTGCCACCAAAGTCGTCTATCCTTCCCATTTCTCTGAGGGCATTGATAATATCAGCATGATCCATAGGCTGACCGTCGGTAGTGATAGCGGATCCAGCCAGCCTGTCAGCTCTTTCATTTCCATCGACGCCTGGAACCTGGATGTGTAAAGCAAGTGTCATGCTGTAGATTGTCGCTAGGCTGTTTGTTAGAGAGGAGGACAGGCTCTCGTAGCTGATGAGTTGTGATCAATAAACCTGAAACTGTCATCAACTGTTATGTGGAGGAGTTGTAGGAGTTGATTCGATAGAAACTCTTGTCTCGTCTACTCTGTGAACACTAGACAACGACCAGTTTCTTATCACAAAAGAGAAACATTAACATAACATAACATAACATAACCTTGACCCATTAGGGTTGTATTGATGGAAGCACTAGCACATAAAATCCACCATCTTTCTCTGTCTTTTCCCTGAATAATAAGTGTACCTTCTTCTCTTCTTTTTCATGTTCACCAGCTGTAAACTCTGGTAGAAAGTTCTGGTTGTTCATTCACTGCTGGACTGCAGTCCTGTTCCAGAAACCTGAGTGTTTTGTGTGCATCCGTTTTACAGATATGACTCATTTGTATGCAGACTGCTGGTTCCTTGCCTCTCAGGCAGATGCACTCCGACTTCAAAGGAAGCTCCCAATTAGTCGACTCTTACGACATGATTTTGGGTAGACAGTGGGTCTATTCTTGTTTTCCCTATTATAGGGCACCGAAGCCCACACAGGGAAATATGTGTATGATAACTTAGTCCTGTCCATTTCTTGATGTTGTCATTCCAAGTTCTTCTTTGCTCTCCTCTTTTTCGACTACTCCCCCAGTGTTCCTTGAAGTACAGTCTTTGCAATTGAATCATGGCTCAACACATGCCCAAACCAAGCATTACAACCAATGCCATTACAACTATAACTCAAGCTACTGCGTACACATGTTTTCGTCAGTGGAGGATATGCATAAAATTGTGTTATCAAAATAATGGTATTCACATAAAGCTTATTATACAAATAAAAATGGTTTTCATTTTTAAAATATTAATTTTTCCTATGTATAGAAACTTATGAGACACCCAGTATTTGTATAGACCCATCTACCAGCACTCAACAAGTGATGTGGTTAAGATCATGTCAGTGCCTTTACTTCCCAGGTCATATCCTGATACATGTTATAGGCTGGGAGCCAACTCTACACACATGCCTTGTCGCTGTTTTACTGCAATAACTGAGCCCTCAGACTGCTTATGGTACAAATAAACAGATCAACAATTATCAGTTTATATAAACAATATTTCCTTGAAAACTGTGCTGACTAACTGGTAGGAGAGGATGACTTATGACCTGCACGGCCACTAGTGGGTGGAGGTCGAGGGCTGGAAGACTTTGTGCTAAGTCTATTCTTTGGCAGAGGAGGTTTTGCACTTGTCAGAATTATTCTGGAGCTCTTGCTGTCCTGAAGGTAAAACAGAAAATAGTACTATAGGTATATTAGGATTTCTGAACATATAACTGGAGACGTGTATGTATAAATGCCAAATGCCAATTACTGCCTTTTTTATACCACTTTTGCGGTGTAGGCCAGGGGGTCTTTGAGCCTGAGAAGTTACGGCCGCACGGCTAGTGCTGTCGCCACAGACTGTGCAGGTTAGGATTTTGTTTTGCCCCCTGACAGAAAAAATCCCCAGCCTTACAGAGGATTCCAACCCGGGTCTCCCGCTTGATAACCCAGCATTCTAACTGTTTGGCCAGCCGCTAACATGCATGTATAATTTTATTATTTCTGATGTGGCAACATATGGATTTACATTATGCATCATCTAACAATCATTCAGCATTACCAAGGGCCTTGTGAACTGGCATGGTTGATCATGCTTCTTGAACAGCTCGCTATCTTCAACAGCATGTATCAGTTTTCAATGCTGACATCTTTCCATACCATGACAAAAGGATGTCAAGAATCTGTCACTGTCTTCCTCTATCCCTTTTTCCCAAAAAATTTCCAGTTGTCGCATGTTCCAGCTTTTTCTCATAAAGTGGCCAAAATATCAGTAAAATAGAAAATTTGGGCTCTTTCACTGAAATGTTACTGACACATTCTTAGAACCTCAGAAACTGAGTAGAAAAAAAAAACTAACATTCTACTTAGAAAAGCATGAAAAAAATAATGACATACTGCAAGATCTGAACACCAATATCTGGATAAATCTGAACCAACTTGGACTAGAGGGTACTAAGTGACTGCCAGGTTTCCCAGTATAACTGTGTTATAAGGCTGAATAGGGTTTATACCTGTTTGATTCTCATCTTTGAGATATTAATGCTACAGATTTCAATCCTGCCAAGGAAAATTAAAAATTTGGACTCCCTCTCCCTTATTTTGCCCTTCTTCTTATGCTTCTAGTCCTTGTCATGTGGCTTTGGTAGCCATGTCTTCCCACAGTGTTTCGTCCTGTGTATTGTCACTCACTCTCTTCTGATATGAATGTTCTTCCAGGCCATGAGGCCAAACTGAACAGAATCTTCTCTCTTGGTCTTCCTGTGGCTTTTTTCCTTTAACTCTGATTTTACGACGACATGGACTTTCTGTGGCTTTTTTCCTTTAACTCTGATTTTACGACGACATGGTTTTCTTGTGGCTCTTTTCCTTTAACTCTGATTTTACGACGACATGGTTTTCTTGTGGCTCTTTTCCTTTAACTCTGATTTTACGACGACATGGTTTTCTTGTGGCTCTTTTCCTTTAACTCTGATTTTACGACGACATGGTTTTCTTGTGGCTCTTTTCCTTTAACTCTGATTTTACAACGACATGGTTTTCTTGTGGCTCTTTTCCTTTAACTCTGATTTTACAACGACATGGTTTTCTTGTGGCTCTTTTCCTTTAACTCTGATTTTACGAAGACATGGTTTTCTTGTGGCTCTTTTTCTTTAACTCTGATTTTACGAAGACATGGTTTTCTTGTGGCTCTTTTTCTTTAACTCTGATTTTACGAAGACATGGTTTTCTTGTGGCTCTTTTTCTTTAACTCTGATTTTACGACGACATGGTTTTCTTGTGGCTCTTTTTCTTTGACTGTCCTATTACTACAACATATTCTAGTTTTTCTCCTCTTAAAATGGGTCCCAAAAATGTGAATTACCCTTTTTTGTTTCCCTAATGGGCCCCACAAAAATATTGGTCCCCAAAAAATGTGAATTACCCTTTTTTGTTTCCCTAATGGGCCCCACTAAAATATTGGTCCCCAAAAAATGTGAATTACCCTTTTTTGTTTCCCTAATGGGCCCCACTAAAATATTGGTCCCCCAAAAAAATTGGTTTATTCATTTAATATCCTGTTGTGCTATTTGATGCCACATAAGGCTCACAGTCTACTTCTCCATTCTGTTCTATCCTATGCAGTCACTTCGAAATCATGAATAGAATCCAGCCCAGCAACTATGGCTTCTCTCATTAACATTCATCTTGAGGTTTCTCTTGAACATCCTTGAACATCCTTATTTTCTCATTCAATCTATTTCCCACTTCAGTGTGTGTTGTTGCCTATTCTCGAGATCTGGTTCTTTAGGGAAGTAAACGGGACCAACGTGATACTGACCATGTCACTCATCGAGTGCTGATCAGTCGATACAACATGCCCTAGCACCAGTGATGAAACAGGATCAATTCACATATGTGAGCGGTGTTAGACAAAATTCAGTGTTAGCATCATTATTGTACATTAATAAAAGTCTACAAAAACATATTTTAATTAAAAAAAGCTGACACATTTATACAAATGCATTTATATGAAACAACATAATGGGACAACTAAAGCAGAGAAAACCAAACTCTCCCTAAGACAAAGGTGAGGACTGTCTCGCCCACAGGCCATATAAGGCCTGTGATATCATTTGGTCACACTCTACTATGAAAACAGCAGACAAGACTAGGAAGTCACAAAAAAAAAATTTAGAGCTGTTTAGATAGAAACACACGTTTTAAATAATGTTCTTGTCAAATAGAAGCAGACAGTTCCAGCCTTCATATAATGGGTGAGTTAATTTAATGTTTGACAAAATATAGCAGGCAAATTTTAAAGTTGATAAATGTCTCCCAAATCACTCCCTACCAATATGAATATGGTTCTTTACCTTATTTCTTCTTCTTCTTCTTTTTCACATTCACTGGCTGTAAACTCTGGCAGAAAGTTCTGGTTGTTTTTCCACCTCTGGACTTGAATCTTATTCCCGAAACTCACTTATGTGTATGCAGAATGTTGGTTCCTTGCCTCTCAGGCAGATGCACTTTGACATTGAAGGAAGCTCCTGGTCAGTCAACTATTATGACATGCTTGCTGAGAAGGTAGTGGGTCTATTCTTGTTTCCCCCCCCCCCCCCCCCAACACACAATGAGAGCCTAGAATCTTCACAGGGATAACCTTATTTAATTCCAACAGCTTCATACATTACTAAAATAAGTGAAACGTCTCTGGTATATCAAGCTCATGTCATCATCATCATCATGATTATTCTGTTTTGCCATTATACCTCACATAGGGTTTGCAGTTTATTCCTCAAATTCTTTCTATACTGTGCAATTGTTTCACTATCAGGAATGAAATCCAGTGCAGCACCTTTGGCCTCTCTCATCAACATTAATCTTGGGGTTTCTTCAGTCCATTTGTTTCTCTGTAACTGTCCCATTACTATGACATGGTCTCCTTAGTGCTCTTTTCCTTGAACAAACCCACTACCATGAATGGTCTCCCTGTGGTCATCTCATTGAGTTAAGTTGAGTCAAGAATTGACATCACAGCATCTGGGGCATTCTCATGCATGCTACATCCTCATCTTCAGCAGCCAGCGCAGAGTTCCAATACTGATGGTACCGGTCACAATCTGGTTATATGTCCGTCTTGCTATTCCTCTGAGTGTAGTGAGCCGGCCAGACCCTCTGGTTACACCCAGATGCCTCATTCTCTCCAGGCCATATCAATCTTGTTTCTCTACTAATTCTGTTGCTTGTTCCCAAAGGGCCTTGACCACATCTGCCTTGTCATGTATCAATTCACCACCCACTGGTGCAGATCCAGCCAATCTGTCTGACTGTTCATTACCCACTATGCGGGCATAGCCTGGAGAAAAGATACGAAGTATGCTCACTACCCGTGACCACAGGGCCTTCCCACTGAAGTGCCAGTTAGGTGACTCTCTGTCGTCTCATCCTCGGGGTGTGCACAGTATATCCCATCTTCTTTGCCTTGTACTGATGACACCAGCGGTTGTCCAGACATTTCTTTTTCTTGAAATCATCCCATTTAAAATTCATCAGGCTATTGGACTATCTGGCTGGTGTGATGTTGACCACATCCATTTAGTCTATAAAATATATGTCTAACCCTATATGCCCAGATGCCTGAGGGCTTTGAAAAGGGTCCTTTGTTTACTTTTACTATTAGGATATCAGTCATGGTTCAAAATTCATCACAAAATAGACCACTGGATAATTGCTGTATTCCTGTGTGGTGACTGTAAAATCCAACGTCTGGCACATGCATCAGATGCATAAGACAGCTGCCAGATATGCCATTATCTAGTCAATCATCAGTTTCCTTAATCTAGCTTATGTACTAAGCTAAAACAAAGTGTGCAGTTTAAAAGAAACTTTCTTTAAAACATACAAGAATGCAGTAAACCTACGAAATACACAACTATATTCAACACAACAAAGAACAGCATCGCTGTAAACATACGAGTACATTACTTAACTACAAACTTTGTTTTACAAACAACAGCTGTGGGGCAATATATTATTAACCATGTCACTTCAAGAAGCCATACAAGTGACACTTTTGAACTGGTCAAATTGCCTGAAAAGCCACTTTACCGACATTTCTAGAGCAAAGTATTTCAGATACAAATAATAATTGCTATTGGTTGTGTTTGCATTTGCATAAATTTAGGGGGTAGGACATGAATATATCAGTTGAAACAATACAATTTAGGAGAGTTTTCCTGTGAATCAAATAGCCAACCAAAGTTGTGATCAAATTGTTCCCATAAGCCTCAGTGATTGATACCATGGGTGAGTCACCTGATACATTATTTTTTCTAGTACCAGGAGAATGTATTGCAATTAATGCTTTACACTGCTCATATTCACTGATTACTTTCTTTATATATCTTCATATATTTTGAAAACAAATTGTAATATGTAGATAAATACATTTTTTTGCAAATTTATAAGTGACCTATGCAAAATTATTGTTATGATTTTTTTTAGGAATTCCAACTGTGTCATGACCCATTTCTTTTAGTGTTCCTGTTTTCATTTTAGAAAATGGGGCCAAACCACAAACACACAAAATTTCCAAAATGTACAGTAAATGTAAAGGACCCTTACATGTTATTGGCACATCAGGAAAATGTTAGGGAAAAAGTAAAGGACCCTTAGGTGCTATTGGCACATCAGGAAAATGTTAGGGAAAAAGTAAAGGACCCATTTTACACCAGTGACGCCTCAGGCATATGGTGCTGGCCCCACATTTTTACACAAATCCGCCTCAATGGCCATCTTTACTTCCCAGGACATCTCCTGTTAACCATTTTAGGCTCAGTCGACCTGGAAGGTCTTTACCAATTTCAAAAATCTGTCTCAATACAGAAATGAACCCAAGGCTTTCAGTCCAGCTGTATAGAATAAAGCCCCTATGTGACTACAGATCACTTTCATAACCTAGATCAGACAAATTTATGAAATGTACTTTAAGCTAGCAGGGAATTTTAAAAATTGACCCAGCTTCTAGCCCGACCCAAGCTAAAGTAGGTACGAGGAAATATTCGGGGAATTAAAGGCAAGCCCAGTCTTGTTCCAGAACTTAAATTTTGCATGCACACCCATTTTACAGATCTAGATTATTTTTATTATATATATATATATATATGCAGACTGTTGGTTTCTTGCCTCTTAGGCACATACAGCCCGTCTTTGATATGAAAACCCCTAATTAGTCAACTTTTGTGTGACATTCACAGTTGAGGCAGTGGAACAATTCTCTATTTTCATTTTTTTCAAAATGAAGCCTTGGTACCCATTTGGGGACAGCATGATACCGATCAGATCTCTCATTACGGACTAATTAAATACCCAATACGTTAAAAGGTGTACAATGACATATTTTCTCTGTTTTACTTCTAAATTACCCTATTATATGTTTATCCGTGGATTTTCAAAACTGCACATTGAAGCAAAGCAAACAGATTTCTCAACAGAAAATGAACATCGACAATGAAAGCAGCACAGCAAGTTGACTACACATTCTTACCCTCACTGTAGATGGGGGTGAGATGGCTTAAAATGAAAAAAGAAAGAAGATTTTCCCCTTTTTGTGTGTGTGCTTTGATCAGCAGAACTGAACATAATTAGCAAGTAAAAGACACACTTTCCATCGCCTAATTCCCCCACCCCCTCCCTTTCCCCCATACAGATCTTTAAACAAATTCTGGGGGAAGTACCTGTTTCTAAAGCTCATTATAAAGAAATGCACTGTTATAATTCTCTGACTACCATAAAAAATAAAAACAAAACTAGAGAAAGAGAGGAAGAAGCAGAACAAATTCACAGTCTCTGGCAGATTTAGAAAAAAAATTCAAAGGACTGGAAGCTTTGATTACTGAGCAGACTGACTGCCCACATCAAAAGAAGACGATCTACATTTTTTTGGATCATGTTATGAGAGAAGAAAACTGGAGTACATCGTGACAGTAGCGAAATTAAAGGGACAAAAGAGTCAGAGGGGGAGAAGTTAGGCTTGGTCAACCTGGGAGCCGTGGTCAATTTGACAAAGAATTCTGGTCTATATTTCTAGGTTTAGTGTTTTTACTTCTAGCAAGTTTTTGCTTCTGACAATAGTTAGCAGTTGCATTTTCCTCCATATGTAGACCAAAAGGATATAGTTCCATCACCCAGCTACTCAGCTGAGTGCCTGGCTCTGCATTTTATTTGGAATGCTTTTAAACCGAGCTCAATCTGGTTTTGTGATTCAGAAAATGGAGAGCGCCAAAGAAGTTACGGTGCCTTATGTAATTAACTGCATGTGCAACTACTTATCTGTTGTAACTGCTGCTTCCATCATGGATGAAATGTGTGTCTGGCAATTTATTTGGCATTTATGACTGCCGCCTTATGCATTTAATGCCTGTGTATGCTGACGAATTTTCTAAGACCGCAGTCTGCATCAATTCTTTTTGCAACGGACAACGATGGACAATCTGTATGGTTCTGGCTGGCACAGGAAAGGAGCAACTACCGAGTGACCTGTTTGCTATGTAACTAGAACTGTGATGACCTACCCTGACCTGAAAATAATGAATCTTGAAGCAGAAACTCAAGACATTCAGGAATGAATGCAGATAAGCAACTAGCCACTACACTACCAGGGTTCCCATTCCGTAATGAAATATTCATAATTATTTATTCCAACATTCTTACCTGTGGAACAGACTGACCCAGAGGTCTGGCCATCCCTGACCGGGGCACTCCTCTAAAAGAAGGAGGTGGAGGAATAAAGGGACCTGCACTTGCATCATCTACTGCAGAGGAAGAACTCTGAATTCTCTTCTCTTCTTGGTCAACACTCACAGCCTCATGCACTTCCTCTTTTTCAGCCTCTTCTGCAGCACTCACATCATTCCTATATCTGGGTTTAGCAGACTTGGTGACACCCTCGCGGAGTGGAACCGCAAACCCTTTGACAATTGGAGGCTCCTCATTATCCTCTAAGTTTTCATCAACATATCTGAAACAGAAATGTGAGTATGTTATTGCTGAATGTTGAATTAAGAACCAACATCACAGCATTCGGGACATTCCCATTAGCGCTCCGTCCACATCTTCAGCAGCAAGCGAAGAGTACCCATTCCGTTGGTACCAGTAACTGTCTGACTGTATATCCATCTCACCTTTCTCTTGAGTGTTGAGCATTGGCTAGATTTCCTGGAAACTCCTCCCAGCGCCATTCTCCTCACCCCATACAAATGTCAGTATAGAAGTTTAAATATTTAGATGACGGTTAGCATCCATATAAAGATGCATCACAGAGAGGAAAAAGAACAGAACAGGACAGCTGAAAATTACATTTTGTAAAATCAATAACATCTTATGCAATAATTCTCACAACAGTAGTGATTTTCAGGTGTTGAGTTGAGTCAAGAACTGACATCACAGCACTCAGGGCATTACCATGTGTGCTCCATCCTCATCTTCAGCAGCCAGCGCAGAGTTACAATACAGATGGTATAGTCACAATCTGGTTATATGTCTGTCTTGCCTTTCCTCTGAGTGTAATGAAAAAAGGCATACCTTTTTCAGGTGTGTCCCCCATGAATATGTATTTCAAGACCCCCCCCCCCCACCCGAAAGAAAAAATGTGATTCACCAGAGGACACAGGTGCATAAACTGCTCATGAAAATTAAAATGTCCTTGCTTTTTCTGTTTCACAAATAGGGTTAAAAATATTTTATTTTATTTTTAAACTGTTTTTATAATATTTTTTTACAAGTATTAATAGTCGAAAACACAGAAAACCTACAACAACTATTAGACATTGTGGTACTAGAGAGTACAAAAAGGGGGACTTTCCTGGAATGTCAAGAAAACAGAAACAATGGTTATATCAAAGAAAAAGATAACTCCAAAATGCGACATAGCAATAGAAGAGAAAGAGCTTAACCAAGTCAATACATTCAAGTATTTGGGGGACATTCATAACATCAGATGGATAGATGTGTGCCAGAAACTAGGAGCAGAATTGACCAGGCAAAGGCAGCTTTTCAGAAGATGAAAAGTATCTCATGTAATTAATTACTCTCATTAAACATCAGAAAATAAAAACTGAAATTTCACATCGAGCCTGTTCCGTTGCATGGCAGTGAATCTTGGAATGTGAGCAAACAAATTAAGAAGAGTTTGGAGGCAACTGAGATGTGGTTCTTGAGAAGAATGTTGCGAATACCTCGGACTGCCAGAATAACTAACAATAATTGCCTGGAAATGGCTATTGAAAGTAGAACATTATATACAACAATGAGAAGGAGACAAAGTAAGTTCTTTGGTCATGTGATGAAACAAGGAGCACTGGAAAATATCGTGACGACTGGAAAAATCCCTGGTAGAGGAGGCAGACAAAGAGAAATTATGGCAGATGGCTTAAGACAGTGGCATGGAGGAATATCATCAGTGAAATTGATCCAGAACACTAAAGACTGAGATCTGTGGAGATGCATAAACCCCTACACTAGCAGGCAAGGCACTTGATGATGATGATGATGATGAGTGTGCACAATTTTACTTAACTTAAACTGCTATAGAAGAGAGGCCAACATTTTTGACAAAGGATAAAAAATGTGTTACCTAGATTCAGAAATCTGGGGTGCTCCTCTAGCAAATTTTGGAAATGGAATGGCTGCATGGTTCACCTGGCACAGAAATGGTAAAAATTAATGCAGGTTTGTGTTACGAAAAGATATAAAACCGACCGAAAAGTTTGTGTGACCAGCCATAGCGTTTTCTCTTCTTCTTCTTTTTCACCTCCTCTTTTACTGCTTCAGGTGTCAAAGGAGATATATAGTCTGGTGAGATTAATGCAGGGGGGAGTGACGAGAGGTTCTGGCGGATGCTCGAGGCTCAGGGGAAAGGCAAGACGAATGTTTAATCAGAATGTTACTGGCACCATGAGTATCGGAACTCTTGAATGGCTACTGAAGATCAGGATGGAGCGCTTATGGGAATGCCCCGAGTGCTGTGATGTTGGTTCTTGAATCAAATCAAATCAGGAGATATACGGTTCTGCGTCTTGCTTCTCTGACCTCATCGACCATAGACACATTTGGGGGGGGAGAAGGCTGCGTGGTTTTGAGGCATGGTGTCCACCTCAAGTGCTAGAGGTTCCCGGTTCAATCCCCGGTAAGGGCTGGGATTTTTTCATGTGGACTTAGACTTAAGTAATTCCCCCTGGTCTCTGGGTAGTGAGATCCAATGCCCGTGTGCATTGTTGCGCACGTAAAAAATCCCTTGGCAGTTGGAAATTAAAGAGAGTAGCCTAACGGCGCTGCACGGGCATTTTGGAGTTAAAAATCTACCCAGAGTATTTCAGGATCCTCGCCAGTGCTACAGAGCCTGTGCATTGTGCTGAGCTTCATCGGACTCAGACTTGAGTTAGAAGAAAGAACAAAGCATTTATGGGTTCCTACCCGTGTGCCATGATGTTGATCTGTTGTTCAAACCTCAAACCTCAAACCAGACACATTGTGCTGTTGCTTTCTGATGTAATTTTTTTATATCTTGTTCTTGGTCTCTCTGGACAATTATTTTGATTTGCTGTTTTGTATGTTCTTTAGAACCACGGCCAGCTCCAGATTTATAAGGCCGTACAACTAAATCAAGGCACATTTTGGCTGAGTCCCCTCGAAAATAGGTTACTGCAAGCGTTTCCAAGTTGCATTTTGTGACATCATAATATGCTTACAAACTTCTGTGTTCTGATTGTATTCGTATTACAAATTGACAAGCGGATATTGCAAAGTGGACATACAAGCTGTTAGATTACAGCAATTTTATTTGTAATTCACGGGAGGCAGTCGTGTTGTGATGTGTGTGTCAGTGTCACTGTTTCTAGTCAGTAGTTCGGATTTTGGGAACTGGCTGTTTATTACTTTTCTACTTTAAATGTAGAAATCTTACTTTTAGGGATAATACAAACAGGTAATTTAGAAGCCATATCTGGAGAATATCGACAGTTGTCAGGTGCAAACTATCTTGTGTTTGAAGAAAACTATTGCTTTCATATTGACTGTGCATAAATGGTGCAACCACACTGTGGATAAATTGTGTCAAGATATTTCGGAGCTCTAGGTAAGTGGATAAAAATAATATTTAATTTACTAACTAACCTCTCTCAGCAAGTCACTCTTTGCCTCTTTACTAATTGTTGACTAACAGTATAATTATATGTTGTAGCAGTACACTAATAATATTAATCCTTAACCATTTGACTTATGCTTCGTGAACACTGGCTGTAAACTCTTGCGGAAACTTCTGGTAGTTCATCCACTTCTTTTGCATATTTGCAGTTCTACGTCTGTGTTAATTTTTGTACACTGGCTTTTGCTTTGCTTCGCGAACACTGGCTGTAAACTCTTGCGGAAACTTCTGGTAGTTCATCCACTTCTTTTGCATAGTTGCAGTTCTACGGCCTGTTAATTTTTGTAAACTGGCTTTTGCTTTGCTTCACGAACACTGGCTGTAAACTCTTACGAAATCTTCATCCATTTCTTTTGCATATTTGCAGTTCTACTGTCTGTGTTAATTTTTGTACAATGGCTTTTGCTTTGCTTCGCGAACACTGGCTGTAAACTCTTGCGGAAACTTCCTATAGTTCATCCACTTCTTTGGCATATTTGCAGTTCTACGGTCTGTGTTAATTTTTGTACACTGGCTTTTGCTTTGCTTCGCGAACACTGGCTGTAAACTCTTGCGGAAACTTCTGGTAGTTCATCCACTTCTTTTGCATATGCAACATTACCCTCTCAGAATCAAAGAGTTAGCACTGATATTTCTTTACTTTTGCTGGAACAACTTTTAGTTTACATCTAAACGTTATTGATGTTTATGTTCATGCTGACTGTAGCAAAAGCATTTTTGTTTGTCTGCAAGAGCCTTTATTTTTATATTCAATTGGCACACTTTTTTACTATAAAAATGACGTATAGTTCTAAAAAATATGTCGAAAATTAATGAAACTGTAGTTTGATTTGTGTATACATCTCCTCCATAAAAACTGTGGACGCAGAGGGACTCAATTCTTGCACAAGAACGGGAATTCCCGGTTGATCTGTATGGCCTTATAAATCTGGAGCTGGCCGTGTTTAGAACCTGTTTTGTGCAGACTTTTTCTCATATGACCTCATTCCTGATTCTATCTCTTCTGGTCACTCCTGCAACCTTTCTCAGACACCTTATTTCCATGGTTACTAATTTTCTTTTCTCTTTTGTTGTGACTGACCACGTCTGGCACTGGTAGCATAGAGTGGCAATGAATATGCTTTGTATGAGATGTCTCTTTGTGCCAACCAGGATTGTCTTGTGCTGAAAGAGTGGGGCTAGCTGTCTCAATACTTTGTCTGCTTTATTGCGTCTGATGTTAATTTCTTCATCCCATTTACCATCTTCGGTGATTGTTGTTCCCAGATAATGAATCCCAGATGCTGTACAGTTTACTGGTTAATAAATTAATAGAACTGATGTGATGGTACTCTGATGTGACAGCACTCTGATGTGACGGCACTCTGATGTAAAGGCTCTCTGATGTGATGGCACTCGGATGTGACTGCACTCTGACGTGACTTCACTCTGATGTGATGGCACTCTGATGTGATGGCACTTTGATGTGATGGCACTCTGAGTTTACGGCACTCAATAATAGCTCTATGTACCTCAGGGCTTCTCAAGCCAGTGAATTACTGCAGTGACTGCTCTTCATCCATTCTCAAACTAGATGTAGTATCATATGCTAGACTGTGTTGCATTTAGTGTCATCCACTCGCTTGAGAAGCCCTGAGTCACAAGCTGATCAGACAGAAGTCTTGGATGGCATAAGCAGAAGACACAATTAGAGAAATTAGAATTAGAGAAAAATTGTATAAAATAAAGGAAGGCTTAAAAAATAGTCGTAAAAGTAATATTGATAATATATACTAATAGTAGGAATAAGCTGGCTCTGTAGCTAAGTCGGGGTTCGATCCCAGCTGTGGGCCATGCGCCTTGCGTTTCGACAGTGATATCAAGAAAGCCAACCATCCAGAAAGCAATGACAAACTACTGAACATAAATTTGCCTAGAAAAACCACACAACAGCCAGGGGCTGTTGGGGTTGGTTCTGCAACGTCCTGTAAAGGATAGGCAACTAACCTAGTAGGAATGAAAGAGCGGTAGGAATACAAATTTTAATGATCCATAACCGGTACTGATTAGAGATAGAATAAAATAATAATATGAAATAAAATAAAATACAATTTTAAAAAAAGCATAAGAATAATACAATAAAAAAAATTGTTTAATGTTACCAAAGTAAAACTGTTTAAATGAAGGTATGCCAGACACTGATGCCTCCTAGACTTAGAACACCTAGACTGTGGATAAGGAGATTTTCCAAAGCTAAAGGAAACTATAACTAAATTTACCCGAATGTGAGGATGTAGAGGAGCAGCCAATCCAAACGGAGGTGGAATATCAGATGGATTTTCAGGCTTTTGAGGTGAGATATTCCCATCCCTTTTCTCTTTCTTCCTCTTCTTTTTGATCTTACGATCAAACATATCCAGGTCTGGAGGCTTTGGAGCATTCTGAAGAGGAGAGAGAGCTGGGGGAGGTATCCGAAAACCTTCTAAGATGCCTGAATTTTTGGATAAGAGAAACAAAAAGCAAGTTTCACACACAGATATATGGGAGCTGTGGTGGCTTAGTGGCTAGTAGGCTTGCTAGCCAAGCAGACAGTCATAAGATCAAATCTTCTTCTTTGTAGTTACCAGTGGAAAGTTCTGGCTGTTTAACTTGTTCCAGAACTTAAGTGACTAATGCACATCCATTTTACAGATATGGCATATCTGTATGCANGGAAATCTCTAAAAAAGGATGGGGGAAAAAGGGGAAAATGCATTTGCATCATCTATGCAGGGGGAAAACTCTGAATTTCTTTCTTCTTGGAAACACCACAGTCTCATGCACTTCTTTTTCAGCCTCTTCCTGCAGCCACTAACCTAACATCATTCCTATATCTCTGGGTTTAGGCAGACTTGGTGACATACCCTCCACCGGAGTGGAACTGCAAACGCTTTGACAATTGGAGGCTCCTCATTATTCCTCTAAGTTGTTCATCAACATATCTGAAAACTCGAATGTGTGAGTATGTTATTGCTGAATGATTGAATTAAGATACCAACATCACAGCATTCGGGACATTCCGCATTAGCGCTTGCCGTCCACATCTTCAGCAGCAAGCGAAGGAGTTCCTCCTATGCCTGTTGGTACCAGTAACTGTCTGACTGTTATATCCATCTCATCTTTCGCTTGAGCATTGGCTAGATTTACTGGAAACTCCCTCCCAGCGCCATTTTCCCTCACCCATACAAATGTCAGTATAGAAGTTTAAATATTTAGATGACGGTTTAGCATCCATATAAAGATGCATCACAGAGAGGAAAAAGAACAGAACAGGACACAGCTGAAAAATTACATTTTGTAAAAAATAAAATAACATCTTATGCAATAATTCTCACAACAGTAGTGATTTTCAACCCTTTGTTAGGTGTTGAGGGGTGAGTCAAGAACTGACATCACAGCACTCAGGCATTACCATGTGTGTGCTCCATCCTTCATCTTCAGCAGCCAGCGCAGAGTTCCAATACTGATGGGTATAGTCACAATCTGGTTATATGTCTGTCTTGCCTTTCCTCCGAGTGTAATGAAAAAAGGCATACCTTTTGAGGTGTGTTCCCCCATGAATATGTATTTCAAAGACCCCACCCCCCCCCACCCGAAAGAAAAAAATGTGATTCACCAGAGGACACAGGTGCATGAAACTGCTCATGAAAATAAAAACGAGAAAGAGCTTAACCAAGTCAATAAATTGGGGACATTTGGGGACATTCATAACATCAGATGGACTATGTGTGCCAGAAACTAGGAGCAGAATTGACCAGGCAAAGGCAGCTTTTCAGAAGATGAAAAGTATCTCATGTAATTAATTACTCTCATTAAACTTCAGAAAATAAAAACTGAAATTTCACATCGAGCCTGTTCCGTTGCATGGCAGTGAATCTTGGAATGTGAGCAAAATAATTAAGAAGAGTTTAGAAGCAACTGAGATGTGGTTCTTGAGAAGAATGTTGCGAATATCTTGGACTGCCAGAATAACTAACATTGATTGCCTGGAAATGGCTACTGAAAGTAGAACATTAAATACAACAACGAGAAGGAGACAAAGTAAGTTCTTTGGTCATGTGATGAAACAAGGAGCACTGGAAAATATCGTGACGACTGGAAAGATCACTGGTAGAAGAGGCAGAGGCAGACCAAGAGAAATTATGGCAGATGGCTTAAGACAGTGGCATGGAGGAACATCATCAGTGGAATTTATCCAGAACACCAAAGACCGAGATCTGTGGAGATGCATGAACCCCTACACTAGCAGGCAAGGCACTTGATGATGATGATGATGATGAGTGTGCACAATTTTACTTAACTTAAACTGCTATAGAAGAGAGGCCAACATTTTTGACAAAGGATAAAAAATGTGTTACCTAGATTCAGAAATCTGGGGTGCTCCTCTAGCAAATTTTGGAAATGGAATGGCTGCATGGTTCACCTGGTACAGAAATGTTAAAAATTAATGCAGGTTTGTGTTATGAAAAGATATAAAACCGACAGAAAAGTTTGTGTCTTCTTCTTCTTCTTCACCTCCTCTTTTACCGCTTCAGGTGTCAAGGGAGATATATAGTCTGGTGAGACTGATGCAGGGGGGAGTGACGAGAAGTTCTGGCAGATGCTCCGGGTTCAGAGGAATGGCAAGACGAATGTTTAATCAGAATGTTACTGGCACCATTAGTATCGGAACTCTTCACTGCTGAAGATGGGGACGGAGCGCTTATGGGAATGCCCCGAGTGCTGTGATGTTGGTTCTTGAATAAAATCAAATCAGGAGATATATGGTTCTGCTTTTTGCTCTTCTGACCTCATCGACCATAGACACATTTGGGGGGGAGGGGGAGGGGGGCCGCGTGGTTTTGAGGCATTGTGTCCACCTCAAGTGCTAGAGGTTCCCGGTTCAATCTCCGGTAAGGGCTGGGATTTTTTAATGTGGACTTGGACTTCTAGTAATTTCCCCTGGTCTCTGGGTAGTGAGATCGGATGCCCGTGTGCATTCTTGCGCATGTAAAAAAAAAATCCCTTGGCAGTTGGAAATTGAAAAGAGTAGCCTAACGGCGCTGCCCAGGCATTTTGGAGTTAAAAATCTACCCAAAGTATGTCAGAATCCTCGCCGGTGCTACATAGCCAGTGCACTGTGCCGAGCTTCTTTGGACTGAGACATGAGCTAGAAGAAATAACGGAGCATTTATAGGTTACTACCCCTGTGCCATGATGTTGATCCGTTGTTCAAACCTCAAACCTCAAACCAGACACATTGTGCTGTTGCTTTCTGATGTAATTTTTTACATCTTGTTCTTGCTCTCTCTAAGTGGACAAATAATTTTATTTGCTGTCTTTGTATGTTCTTTAGAACTGGTTTTGTGCTGACTTTTTCTCAAATGACCTCATTCCTGATTTTATCTTTTCTGGTCACTCCTGCAACCTTTCTCAGACACCTCCGGTCAAAATGGACGCTAGGCAGGGGCACTGTTTGGAGCCGAGGCAAATTTTTTGCTTCTGCTGGATGGTGGACGATGCATTTTTGCTCAATTTGTAGACTATATATAGTTTCGTCGCCAAGCTTCTGAGCTGATTGCATGGTGTGACACTGTGAGCTGCGGATTTCATTTGGAATGTTTTTTCAACTGTGACCAACATTGTGGTGTGAATTGTAGATTCAGAAAATGGCGCGATGCCTGTCGCCGCAATGTTGGTGGTGCCCGTATGTGATTGAAATTGACTTCTGCTTTCATTAATGATGAACTACATTTCTAATGTCAGACTGTTTGTGTTAGCACTTCGGATGGCTACCCTATGCTTTAATGCTTGTGTATGCTAGATATGCTGAGATAAACATTCTGTGCATTTTTCGTTGGTACAGGAGCGGAGCAAAGATTGGGTGACCCCTTTTCTATGAAGCTGAAACTAAGACTACCAGATTACCAGACCAGACTATCAGACACCTCATTTCCATGGTTACTAATTTTCTTTTCTCTTTTGTTGGGACTGACCACGTCTGGCACTGGTAGCATAGAGTGGCAATGAAAATGCTTTGTATGAGATGGTTTTTTTGGTGCTGCTCAGGATTGTCTTGTGCTGAAAGAGTGGGGCTAGCTGTCTCAATACTTTATCTGCTTTACTTTGTCTGATGTTAATTTCTTCATCCCATTAACCATCTTCGGTGATTGTTGTTCCTAGATAATTAATCCCAGAAGCTGAACAGTTTACAGGTTAATAAATTAATAGAATTGATGTGACAGCACTCTGATGTGACGGCACTCTGTTGTTAAGGCACTCTGAAATTATGGCACTCTGAGGTTACGGCACTCAATAATAGCTCTCTGTACCTCAGGGCTTCTCAAGCCAGTGGAAGACCGCGGTGACTGCTCTTCATACATTCTCAAACTAGATGTAGTATCATATGCTAGACTTTGTTGCATTTAGTATCATCCGCTAGCTTGAGAAGCCCTAGATACAGCTGAGTCACAAGCTGATCAGACAGACGTCTTGGATGGCACAAGAAGAAGACACAATTAAGATTGTGTATGCTGGGAAAAAATGGTAGAAAATAAAGGAAGGCTTAAAGAAAAAATAGTCGTAAAAGTAATAATGATAATATATACTAATAGTAGGAATAAGTTTGCTCTGTGGCTAAGTTGATGCGAACGCTTCGTAATGCTGGGATGCCGGGTTCGATCCCAGCTGTGGGCCATGCGCCTTGCGTTTCGGCAGTGGTATCAAGAAAGCCAACCGTCCAGAAAGCAATGACAAACTACTGGACGTAAATTTGCCTAGAAAAACCACACAACATTCAGGGGCTGTTGGGGTTGGTTCTGAAACATCCTGTAAAGGATACGCAACTAACCTAGTAGGAATGAAAGAGCGGTAGGAATACAAATGTTAATTATCCATAACCAGTACTGATTAGAGATAGAATAAAATAATAATATGAAATAAAATAAAATACAATTTTAAAAAAGCATAAGAATAATACAATTTAAAAAAATTGTTTAATGTTACAAAAGTAAAACTGTTTAAATGAAGGTATGCCAGACACTGATGCCTCCTAGACTTAGAACACCTAGACTGTGGATAAGGAGATTTTCCAAAGCTAAAGGAAACTATAACTAAATTTACCCGAATGTGAGGATGCAGAGGAGCAGCCAGTCCAAACGGAGGTGGAATATCAGATGGATTTTCAGGCTTCTGAGGTGAGATATTCCCATCCCTTTTCTCTTTCTTCCTTTTCTTTTTAATCTTACGATCAAACATATCCAGGTCTGGAGGCTTTGGAGCATTCTGAAGAGGTGAGAGAGCTGGGGGAGGTATCCGAAAACCTTCCAAGATGCCTGAATTTTGGGATAAGAGAAAAAAAAAGCAAGTTTCACACACAGATATATGGGAGCTGTGGTGGCTCAGTGGCTAGTAGGCTTGCTAGCCAAGCAGATGGTCATATGCTCAAATCTTCTTCTTCTTCTTTGCAGTTACCAGTGGAAAGTTCTGGTTTGACTTGTTCCAGAACTTAAGTGACTAATCCACATCCATTTTACAGATATGGCATATCTGTATGCAGACTGTTAGTTCCCTGTCTCCCAGGCAGACCTACTTCGACTCTAAAGGAAACTCATCTAATTAATAGCCTTGTAGGACAAGCTTGTTATAGGGTGGAGGTGACAGGTTCAGTTCCCGGCACGGTAACTATAGCTTTCGATTTTTATGTTGTCTAGTGTGTTCTTCTATCTTTCTACTTCTTTCTATGAGTGCCGATCAATACACTTTCTGTTACTTGATTAATTCATAATTGTTATAGGGTGGTATGTCTATCCTTTATCACAGAATGTAGCCCCGAACCCATACGAGGATGATTTATGATTGCTTATTTTCTCCCAGCAGAAACACTGATTTTGACAGTTTCTTTTACCAATGAAACCTTTTCTTTTATATATTGCCCAGTCTGAATGCAGATAAATTTAGTGTGTACTAAATATTAGGAGGTTTACAGCCCTGAAGATGTGTCAACATGTATGTATTCATACACATGTGGCATCAAGCAGCAAGACAAGATCACAGACATTGAGGTATTGGAAAGAGTAGGTATCACAACAGTTCTCTCAATGCTCAGTCTAGGAAGGCTCAAGTAACTGGGTCATGCTCGGAGAATGGGGGGATGAATGATACAAGTATTGAGGTAGATTCATGGGAACAAAATGAATTGCATCCTGTTGCATGAAGTGGCCAAATCAGGGAGAGAATGAGAATGAAGGAAAAAAATTGACTGCAGAAAGAATGAGAGCTGAACGTATGAGAAGAAACATACTAAATACATGTGATGGCAACAACTGCCCTAAAATCAAATGCTCTAATTGTGGAAGACTTTTCTTGGTGCTTTATTAATATCCTACCCCAAACAGAGAAAATCCACAGGTCACAGGACAGTCTAATATTTCAGGGGGTGGTAGATAGGCTGCATGCAGTCTTGGGACCTCGGTTGCATGCATTCGTGGGACCTAGGCTGCACTCTCTTGTGGGATGTAGGTGGGTTGGGGTTAGGGACAGTTTTAGATGTTTTGAGTTGTTAAAAGCATCAGAAAGCTGGAAAACCCAGTCTTACCACCCTCTAAAATGTTGAACTGTCTTAGTACGTCATCTGGGGTAGGATATTAATAAAGAACCCTTTTTTTAACATGTTCGGGTCTTACTAATCGCACTCGCCATTGCCAAGGCCTGTGAGTTCCATGCCTCCTCATAGCACAATATAACACTAACTGGAAAGATGGACAGGTGGCAACAAGTGTACATACATACCTGGTGGCTGAATATTATTCCCAGAATAAGGGCGATCACCCGGACTTCGGCTGCTGTGCTGCTGCAAATCTGAGCTCTGGCTGGACAGAGAAGGGCTTTCTCTAGATGAAGGTGAAAGGCGATCGTGTGACTGTTGGTGTGGGGGTGGAGCTGCATGAGAGACAGAAGAAGGCAGCGGCTGCTGGTGTCGAATCATATGAGGCCTCTGTGGAGTTGCTGAAGGTGGGGTTGGGACTGGACCTCCGCGGGAGGGTTTAAACATGGGTGTAGGAGGGACCCTGGCCTGAGGTCTTGCCTGTTGGGGTCCGAATCTGCCCCTCTGATCAAATCCTGAAATCATGTCTTCAAATTCTATTTGCTGGGCTAGCTTCTGCTTCAGCTTCTGAGGATTCAGATGCAGGCTATTGTTGTTTCTGTTGCCCAGAACAGGATCAAAATGGTTGCCCTGGTGAGAATAAAAATAGAATAGGTAACTCTCTCATTCCCAGGCTGTTCTCTCCATGTGGATTTCATGGCGCCCAATTTGAAAATACCCAATGAACCCACCCACTGGCCTTTAACAGTTGTTGTTGTTGGCATTTACCTGTCTTTACAGGCGACTGTGCTATACTGTGCTACGCGGTGGTAAAGGAATCATGGCCCATGGCAGCAAAGAGTGTGACTCCATACTTTAAAGCCCGGGCAGTGTTTTAGAGACCATGAGTTGTTCTCTTACCACCGCTGATCAAATCCTGAATCATGTCTTCATATTCTATTTGAAGGCGGTGCCTTCTCCATGACTACCAGCAACATGACGATGGAGGTGATGGCGATGACACAAGCTTTAATGTGGCTAGAATCACAGGACTATTCCCGCGTGTGTGTGCTGAGTGATTCTTGAGTATGATCCAGAAGGTCGAGGCAGACTAGTTATGCAGATGGTGGTTTGAGTCATTGCGAAACTCTACTGTGTGTGCAGTTACCTTCATTTTCATCACAGGGTATGCAGGTGTTGTTGGTAATAAAAGAGCTGATAAACTGGCAGGTGCTGCATTAATTGAAGATGGCCAGCCCATGGATCATGCAGACATTGTCATTGCCCTTAGAGAGATTGGACGTTATGAGGATTTTGGAAGCAACGTGTCCACATCCCTTCTAAGAATACGAGAATTGGAGTTAAGGTCAGCACAGCCAAGCATGAGAAGCACACTGGACGCACATGAAGTCTTGTAAACCAACATAGGACTGGCACTATTAACCACGCGGTGCTGATGAATATGTTGAGAGGGGAATCTGAGCGCCTATGGATGTGTCCAGAGTGTTTTGAAAATAATCTAACTCATAACTTTTACCAGTAGGTCGTAAAATGTTACTAATTCAGTTTTTTTAATGTAATCATATGTTAGTTAGTTAGTTAGTTAGTTAGTTAGTTAGTTAGTTAGTTAGTTAATCAGTCAGTCAGTCAGTCAGTCAGTCAGTCAGTCAGTCAGTCAGTCAGTCAGTCAGTCAGTCAGTCAGTCAGTCAGTCAGTCAGTTAGTTAGTTAGTTAGTTAGTTAGTTAGTTGGGTTATCATCATTGCACTCCGGACATATCCATAGGTGCTCAGATCCTCCCTTCAGTATGTACCCCAAAGTTTGATGGCTACCAGTTCTATGTTGATTAACAAGTCTTCTGGTGTGTCTGGTGTGCGTCTCATTTTTTGCTATGCCGATCTTAATTCCCAAGTCTGCCATTCTAGCGAGTGATGTGGATTCACTCCCCCCAAAGTCCTCTATCCTTCCCATTTCTCTGAGGGAATTAATAATATCAGCATGATCCATAGGTTGACCGGTGGTAGTGACAGCGGATCCAACCAGCCTATCAGCTCTTTCATTCCCATCGACGCCTGCGTAAGCCAGAACAAAAATAAAGGTGACTCCACGCAAAGTGGACTTCTGTAATGATTCAAGCCATTGTCTTCGCACCGAACCTGCCTGAACCCTCCGGATCATACTCATTGAATCACTGAGTATACACACGCGGGTGTTGTTTTGTGTTTCGAGCCAGGCAAACGCTTGCGTCACTGCCTTCACCTCCATCGTCATTCTGCTGGTTGTCATTGAGAAGGCACCGGTGGCTTCTTTGACTGTTCTGCCCGCTGAGCGTGCTGTGAATGCCCATGCGCTTCTTTTTGGGCGTATGAATCAGATGTGTTGGGTTGAAAGGTGCAGACATCATGGCCTAGCTGTAAACCACAACACAGTGGACCAACTGCCCTTTTACGACAAAATGCAGAAGAATAAGAACTCTGGTAATTCTTACTTTCATGAGCTTTACTCAATGCTTTGCTTACTTTAAATAACAAAAGTGTGGATCTATGCCCTAAATAATGATCTCTATGGAACTAGTCGGAAGAAAGAGATTGGGTAGCTTGGTAACGAATGAACAAACGAACAAACAAACTTTATTTTCAAACGGTTACAAATTGGGCTTGCAGGTCCATCTTACATTTGGCCTTTCCAAGAACTCATCTTTTAGATCACAACTGCACGTTATCAGTAATGCATTTTCAGTTTATGTAAAAATATACATAATGAACAATGCATATGCATATCATATATACACAATCATACACACTCCAAATAAACACATACACTCTTATATGCCCACATTAACGCACACATACATACATACATACATAATACATACACAAACACACACACACACACTCACTCATACATTCACCCTCATACAAATACGTACAAGCACTCATGCTCATACAAACATATACATGCACCCTTACTCATGCATACACATACATACACTCAAACTTATATATATATAATATATATTATTATAATATATATATATTAATAATAGCATATGGAGGATGCAATGACATAAAATGCAGAATAGCTAAAGAAGCATTTCACAAGATAAAGAATATTCTTTGCCATACATCACTGTCAATTCTTCTTCTTTGGCTCATTGGCTGTATACTGTGTCACAAAGTTTTGGATGTTCGTAACTTCTGATCTTGGTCTTGTTCCAGAATTTTAGCATTTGTGTGCACATCCATTTTCCAGATCATCATATTTGTTTGCAGACTGCTAATCCCCCACCTTTCATGCAGGTGCACTCGAACTTTGAAGGAAATATCCTGATTTGTCGACTTTTACCTCATGTGTGTTATGAGGCAGTGAGTCTAATTTTCACCCCTCCCCCCCTCCCTCCCCACAATAGGGCCCCAAAATCCACAAATGGATAACAGTCACACAACAACCACATATAACAATCAAACATAACCACCACATATAACCATACATAAACACTGAGACCACCACATATAACCATACATAAACACTGAGACCACAACATATAACCATACATAAACACCGAGACCACAACATATAACCATACATAAACACTAAGACCACAACATATAACCATACATAAACACCGAGACCACAACATATAACCATACATAAACACTGAGACCACAACATATAACCATACATAAACACAGAGACCACAACATATAACCATACATAAACACTGAGACCACAACATATAACCATACATAAACACCGAGACCACAACATATAACCATACATAAACACTGAGACCACAACATATAACCATACATAAACACTGAGACCACAACATATAACCATACATAAACACTGAGACCACAACATATAACCATACATAAACACCGAGACCACAACATATAACCATACATAAACACTGAGACCACCACATATAACCATACATAAACACTGAGACCACCACATATAACCATACATAAACACTGAGACCACCACAGATAACCATACATAAACACGGAGACCACCACATATAACCATACATAAACACTGAGACCACCACATATAACCATACATAAACACGGAGACCACCACATATAACCATACATAAACAGGGAGACCACCACATATAACCATACATAAACAGGGAGACCACCACATATAACCATACATAAACACGGAGACCACCACATATAACCATACATAAACACGGAGACCACCACATATAACCATACATAAACACGGAGACAAGAAGCCACAAGTTATCACAATGAGGCCTATACCTTGTTGTGTACAGGAAGTGGGGGAGATGTGGTCATCAGAATGTCCGGACGTCTTCGAGGTGGTGGACGGGGCTTAAGAGCCATCTGTGTAGGACCTCTCGGTGTCGGGGCTGCGGGTCGCACAGTCTCTTCTTCATCTTCCATATCAGAAACGTCCATTCCTTCGACACTGATCTCATCATTTTCATCTTCAAATACAGGCTAAATTAAACAAGAATTTATGTTTACAATTAGAGAGTGGTAAAAGGGTAATTTAGATTCTTTGAGACAATCTAAATTCTTTGAGACAGTCTACATTCTTTGAGACAATCTACATTCTTTGAGACAATCTACATTCTTTGAAACAATCTACATTCTTTGAGACAATCTACATTCTTTGAGACAATCTACATTCTTTGAGACAATCTACATTCTTTGAGACAATCTACATTCTTTGAGACAATCTACATTCTTTGAGACAATCTAATCTACATTCTTTGAGACAATCTACATTCTTTGAGACAATCTACATTCTTTGAGACAATCTAATCTACATTCTTTGAGACAATCTACATTCTTTGAGACAATCTAATCTACATTCTTTGAGACAATCTACATTCTTTGAGACAATCTACATTCTTTGAGACAATCTACATTCTTTGAGACAATCTACATTCTTTGGTCATGTCATGAAAAGGAGAGAGTTGGAGTTTGTCACGGCAGTGGGGAAAGCTGGAGGGGAAAACAGGAAGAGGGAAACTGAGAGAGAAGATGCTGGACAGTTTGACATTAAGGCATAGAAGATCATCTGTGTACATGAGACAGAAGGTTGTGGATAGACATGACTATAAATACCACACTACAATAAGAAGAAAAAGAAGAAGGGCAAGATGGATAGCTGCAGCAGTGTAGTGGCTAGATACTCACTGCCACACCAAGGGTTTTGGGTTCAAAACCTCAGTGAGGTGGATTTTTTTTTTTTATGATCTTGACCTCCATGTTAACCCAGCCTAAAATGGGCACCAGATAAAGTTCTGGGAAGTAAAGGTGGCCAGCAGGATGTTAACCGCATCATCCGCTGAAGGCCATTTGACCCATAAATATAAGTCTACTACTGACCCCAATGAAGGTGGACAAAGATACTGAAGATGCACTAGCTATGAAAGCACACAGGGTGGACAAATGGCTAGAGTAAAAAAAAGACTTTCAGGCTTGCCGTGATGAAAGTGATGATCTGTAAAGGAAGTGCTGACCGATGATGAAAAGGGGCAAGTTAAATTGCTGTGTTATCATAGTGGCTAAATGCTTACCTTCTCCCTCAAAGGTTTTGGGTTCAAATCCATACCGAGTCCAATTGGTTTTATTTAATGACCTTGGTTTCTAGGTCAATCCACCCTTAAATGGGCATCAGATAAATACCTGGGAAGTATAGGTGGCTGGCCTGATGTCAACCCGTTGAGTGCCTATAAAATATAAGACAAGGGGTTCTGACCGATACTGAACGCTTAGAGGAATGGCAAGATGGACACATAAACACACTGCTACTGGCACCACTTGTGTTGGAACTCTACTTTGGCTACTGAAAATGGGGACAGAGCCAATATGGGAAAGCCCAGAGTGTTGTGATGTCGGTTCTTGAATCAATTCAGCTCAACTCAAGAGATACAGATACACAGCTTTACGTTTGTGTGACACACCTTCACACTGCAGTTGACACACTAATGTGTGACGACACACAGATGATTGGTTGGTTGGCTGGTTGCTTGGCTGATTAGTTGCTAGTAAGTTGACTGGTAAGTTGATTGGTTGGTTGGCTGGTTGCTTGGCTGATTAGTTGTTGCTAGTAAGTTGACTGGTAAGTTGACTAATGGTTGGTTCCTTGACTGACTGACTAGCTGGCTGGCTGACTGGCTCACTGGTTGCTTGGTTGGTGAGTCCTATCCTCTTTTTCTTCGTACCATTCACTGTCTTAATCTTCAGCAGCCAATTCTGGTTGTTTGTCCACTGGACGAAATTGTTCCAGAACTTTAGTTTTCTGGATCTGACTTGTTTATATGCAAACTGTTGGTTCCACTGTCAAGTAAAACCATCTGAACCTAATACTGTCAAGTAAAACCATCTGAACTAATACTGTCAAGTAAAACCATCTGAACCTAATACTGTCAAGTAAAACCATCTACGGAACCTAATACTGTCAAGTAAAACCATCTGAACCTAATAAAGTAAATCTGAACTAATACTGTCTAATAAACCTCTGAACAATACTGTCAAGTAAAACCATATGGACCTAATATTGTCAAGTATAACCATCTGAATGTAATACTGTCAAGTAAACTATCTGAACCTAATACTGTCAAGTAAAACCATCTGAACCTAATACTGTCAAGTAAAACCATCTGAACCTAATACTGTCAAGTAAAACCATCTGAACCTAATACTGTCAAGTAAAACCATCTGAACCTAATACTGTCAAGTAAAACCATCTGAACCTAATACTGTCAAGTAAAACCATCTGAACCTAATACTGTCAAGTAAAACCATCTGAACCTAATACTGTCAAGTAAAACCATCTGAACCTAATACTGTCAAGTAAAACCATCTGAACCTAATACTGTCAAAAACCATCTGAACCTAATACTGTCTGATGAACCTAATACTGTCAAGTAAAACCATCTGAACCTAATACTGTCAAGCAAAACCATCTGAACCTAATACTGTCAAGTAAAACCATCTGGACCTAATACTGTCAAGTATAACCATCTGAACGTAATACTGTCAAGTAAAACCATCTGAACCTAATACTGTCAAGTAAAACCATCTGAACATAATACTGTCAAGTAAAACCATCTGGACCTATTACTGTCAAGTATAACCATCTAAATGTAATACTGTCAAGTAAAACTATCTGAATGTAAAACTGTCAAGTAAAACCAAACAGCTAAAAATAATTCTGCAAAGTCCTGTAAAAGGATACGCAACTAACTTGGTGTTCAGTGTGAATTTCACTCGTGGCATCTGTTCCACTTTCAGTATGGTTATAACTACAACTACATGATATCTTCTCTTTCCTCCCTGTTTGCCTTTAAAAGGCCAGTTGGCATATTGTGTTGTAGTTAAGCGCTAAGCTGTGATATCTGCACCTGTAGCCAAACACATCAGATTTCAGCAAACATCTAATTAGTTGCATTTTATGACACACATGTTAGGGAGCAGTGGGTCTGTTCCTTTTTCCTTAAAAAAAAAAAAACGACTTCAGAACCAACACAGGAAAAATAAGGGATATAATAAACTTACAGCCCAATATGTTTTTTGCCACAGATTTACAATTTGTGCATTAAAGAGAAGAGCCTTTTATTTACATATTTTCTCTTTTGTTGCCAGGGGATGGTTACTGGTTGGAGTCTCTGAGGAAATCTCTTATGACAGAAATCAGTTTAAATTTTGTGCCAGGACACTCTGGGGTAAGAGGGAAGGAAAGAGTGGATTGGCTTGCTGGCAGGGCCATGGTAGGCACAGGAAAAGCAATGGACCGTGTCGATGTTGTCAATGCTCTCAGGAAGGCAGGACGAGTAAGTGATTCACTAGAACAACTGTGAATCTGCAACCCTGACAAGACAATCATTTACCAGCACTATGCCAACCACTGAAAACCTTCAGAAATATTTCTTAACTGAACAGAAATCAAAGATGTTATGTTGATTCGTGAAAGACATTTGTAAAAATAAAATTAACCGTTGGAAGCAAAAAACAACTGTAAACCTACCAGAACTCTTTCTCGCTGCCCACCGCTTGTGAATAATTTATCTTCTGAACCATTCGTTGTTTCCCGATCCTCGTGGGGAGGTCTATAACTGTCAACGCTGGTCAGGCTATTCGCACGCCGCACTAGGATTCGGGAAGATCTCGGCCGCTTTGGCGGATGGGGAGCTGTGACTGGAGTGGACTGGCTTGATCTGGTTCCAAAACTCTGGAACATAAATGTTTTTTAAAAGAGTATTATAAACATGCTATCAATGTCAAACAAAGATACTGTCTTCAGAAGATAGAAGGAAAATTGTCACGACATAAATTAAATGTTTACATACTATGCTAGGTCTAATGATGGTAAATAAACTTAGGAACAATGATAACAGGAGGAGGTCAGCACAGAACCAATACTGAACTTTATAGGTGGAATCCAAATCAAATGGTTTGACCACGTAACCAGATTGGCCTCAGACAGGGCACCACAGAGAGCAAACAGATACAACAGTAACAGAGCCAGAGGTCGACCACCCAGAAGATGCACCGCAGAAATAGAGACACTGAAAATTACTTTGAACAAAGCGAACAGAAGGGTCGGTTCCAGAGATCTCCTCCTGCCCTGACGCCCCAAGGCATTCCAGGAGTACATAACAGAAGAAGAAGATAAACAGACTGTAATAAACTGATATGCACTGATAGATGCAGTTGAAGAAAACAGAGGCAAGAGACAGGGAATCAGTCAGTCACCACAGTTAAACTCATTTAATTTATAAAGATAACCAATCAGCAAAAACTTCAAGTATCTGGGGAGCGTGATTAAAATCATCCAGTGGAAAATTGAAGCAGACACAGAACATAGAGGTAATCAAGCAAACCACATGTGACTTCTTTTTCTTCTTCTTTGTGTTCGGTTTCATATGCTTAGGTCAAACCATCAGGTGGGTTGCCTCTATGAACTAACATGTCAGCTACAGGTCCCCCATGGTTCCTCATAGCTTGCTCTGCACACTTTGCTCTTGAGGCCAGGTGTCTTTTCAAAGTTGTGGATAGAGTGGGCAGGTGAGCAGAATGTGCTCAGGTGTTTGTGGTCCGGTCTGATGGGCACACTGTGGGGACTGTACAGTTGTTATTTTATGCATGACATGAGAGAGACGTCACCAATTTTGCAGAACAAACATAACAACTAACACCAAGAGGACCAAGCAATGCAGGATTTTTACCAACACTGTTGCCGGTGCCAAACATAGACACAATAACAGCAAAAGAAAAATATCAACAACAGAAAAAAAATCTCTATGATGAATCCAAAATGTAACTAGAAGAGACAGAACAGAAATGGTGATATCAGGAAAGAAGTTTAAGGGGAATCAGTCCTAAACTGCATCAAGAGACAACATATCAAAAAGTTAGGACATATGTCAAGATTACCACTATATAGTGGTCTACAGAGAGCCCTGTCACTGACACATAATGGAAACAGAGTTAGAGGTTGACCACACGAGCGATGGATAGATGGAATATCCTAGGCTGTAAATACCGGCAACTACATAGCACATACCAAAGCTCGCACACGATGCCTCGTCAAAACCTGACGCTGAAAGGCAGAATAGGACAAGAAAAGAAGAAGTAAAAGGAGAAGAAGAAGAAGGAATCAGGACAATACATTCATCATCAAGTGCCTTGGCAGCTTGCATAGGCGCTCATGCATCTCCACAGATCTTGGTTTTTGGTGTTCTGGATTAATTCCACTGATGATATTCCTCCATGCCGCTGTCTTAAGCCATCCACTATCATTTCTCTTGGTCTGCCTCTGCCTTTTCTACCAGTGATCTTTCCAATCATCACAATATTATCCAATGGTTCTTTTCTCATCACATGACCAAAAAACTTTGTCTCCTTCTCATTGTCGAATATAAGGTTCTACATTCATTAGCCATTTCCAGGCAATCAATGTTAGTTATTCTGGCAGTCCAAGGTATTTGCAACATTCTTCTCAAGAACTACATCTCAGTTGTTTCTAAACTCTTCTTTTATACAATACATTAGTTATAAAAGTTGTCCTCTTTGTCAAGTCGGCAGCACTTACCATCTTACTGAGATCCTCATGCACTCCGCTGTCTGTTCTCATGAACAAACCTAAACCATTAGGCAGTGGGCTCATGGGATTGTTGGCCATTCTCTGCCGTTGGTGCGACATGATGATCAGCTGACAGTAGTGCAGTTTACGGGTACGAGCGTAGTCCCAGGCCGTGGCGTTGTAGTTGTCAACAACATTCACATCGGCTAAGGATAAACATAGATTTCTTCTTTTATTTAGGGTCGTTGTTGTTGTTTAGGCGGAAAGGGGGGTGGGGAAGGGAGACATCTGGAATCTTAAACCAATAAAAACAAATTAGAACAATTCCAAGAGCAGGGAATCCTCATAATTTAGTAAACGGAAATGTCATTTGATGACAATGTTTGGAATCTAACTAAAAAACAATGTTCTAAATCTGATTAAGGTCAATGTCTGGAATCTGACTAAGGACAGTGTTTGGAATCTGACTAAGGACAATGTTTGGAATCTGACTAAGGACAAAGTTTGGAATCTGACTTAGGACAAAGTTTGGAATCTGACTAAGGACAATGTTTGGAATCTGACTAAGGACAATGTTTGGAATCTAACTAAGGACAATGTTCGAAATCTGAGTACGGACAATGTCTGGAATCTGACTAAGGACAGTGTTTGGAATCTGACTTAGGACAAAGTTTGGAATCTGACTAAGGACAATGTTTGGAATCTGACTATGGACAATGTTTTGAATCTGACTAGGGACAATGTTTGGAATCTGACTAAGGACAATGTTTAGAAATTGGCTGATAGGAAAGCTGATTCTTCTGCTTTTCACAGATGTGAACGCTGGCTGAAAGTTCCAGTTGCTTATCCACTTCTGGACTTTAGTCTTTCAGTTTCAAGGCCTGATTGTTATGTGCACATCCATTTTACAGGTATGACTTATTTGTGTGCAGACTGTTGGTTCTCAGACTGCAGGTTCTTACTGTAAAGATAGATGTTTTCCAATTTGAAAGGGAACATTCATCCTCTTAACTGTAACAAGGCTCGGGTTGTGAACCTGTTTCTCCCCGTGTGGGTTCCGAGGCTTTGTGGGGAAAACAAGAATAGACCCTTTGCCTACCCAAAAGCATGTCCTAGGAGTCAACTAATCAGGAGCTTCCTTCGAAGTCAGAGTACATCTGCCTGAGAGGCAACCAACCAACATAAGTCTGCAGGCAAATGAATCAAATCTGTGAAATGGATGTGCATGCAACACTCGGTTTCTGGAACAGGACTAGAGTCCAGAAGTGGGCCAACAACCAGAACCTTCTGTCAAAATTTACAGCCGGTGACCGCAAAGAAGAGGAACCGGTTTCTATGACGACTGTGGACAGGGGTAGATAGATCTCAAACAGTATGAGCCCTGGCCCTGGTGCATCACCTCCTATGCTTCGCAACTCTGCATCCCAAAAGCTAATTGATGACAATGCTAAGCAGCTGATTGATGAATTTTTCCACTTGTTATAATTTTTCGAATTTGTTATATTACTTATTAAGTCTGAGATATCACAGCTGACAGAAGCCAGCTTCAGGCCTCAGAAATTAGGTATCCGAGAAAGGTGGCCCAAGTAACAAGAAGGGACAAAGTTTGTAATCAGTCAAGATCTTGAAACCCAGGCCTTACAAACTCAAGTGGATCAGTCAAGTTATGATGGTTTGGACATGTATGCAGAATGGCAGAAAATCGGCCACCATGGCAGGCATGGGAGGCTAAGAACCTGGGAACCAGACCTCCAGGCTGACCTAGAGTTCGCTGGGAAGACAACATCCATCAGTCCCTGACTGACAGAGGACTGGAATGGAATAAAACTAGGAAGTAAAACTGCTGAAACAGAAGTCTGATGATGGCAAACCTCTAAGCTCCAGGGTAGAAGTGTAGGAGTGACTAAGTAAGTGTTCGAGACATACTCCTTATTTAACCAAACAATATGCACAAATCATTCTAGCTACCATTTTGTTCCAACAGGAAGTTGACCACATCGCCATGACCTCCCATGGTAGCCACGTGAAGGGCAGTGCGACCTTGATTGTCCTGGTCTTGAATACATTTTTCTCCAGCAATCTCCAGAATTACCCGGCAGGCATGCAGCGATCCTAAAACAACAAACTCACAATTTGATGAATTTTCTTGAATAACAAAAGATATCAAATTTACTAATTATTATAAGCCAGAGTGTCTCTAAGAAGCGAGGAACCAACATTCTGCCTTCAAAAAAGCAAGATCTGGAAAATGGATGTGCCCACAAAACTCAAGTTCAAGATGTGGATGAATGCCAGAGTTTATAGCCAGTGAACGTGAAGAAGAAGAAGCAGCAGACCAGTAGTCACTTAGGGGGATTTGTTGTTAATACTATGACTTAGAAGAAAACACCACTAATCAGTTGACTTTTATGACATGCATGTTATGAAGGTAGTGGGTGCTGTATAAGTATCCTACCCCAAACAGGTAAAATCCACAGGTCACAGGAGAGTCTAATATTTCAGGGGGTGGTAGATAGGTTGCAAGCAATCGTGGGACCTAGGCTGCATGCAGTCGTGGGACCTACGCTGCATGCAGTCGTGGGACCTAGGCTTCACTCTCTTGTGGGACGTAGGTGGTTTGGGGTTAAGGCCAGTTCTAGATGTTTTGGGGTCCTTAAAAGAATCAGAAAGCCGGGAAACCTAGTCTTACCACCCTCTAAAATGTTGGACTGGCCTGTGACATCCTCTGGGTTAGGATTTTAATAAAGCACTGGACAGTGGGTTTATTCGAAAGCTAGTCGTCCACCACCCAGGGCCCCACCCCTTTGTGGGGGAACCCCAAATGGACCCCGGAACCCACACATAGAATGACTGGTCTATACAAATATGGAGCTAGTACCATATAAAAAGGGAGCTGTGGGAGGGACGGCCAGATGCTTGCCTGCAGTCCTAAATTTTTTTTTTTTTTTTTTCAAAATTTGGCCTTGGCTCTTAGGTTGACCCAGCGTAAAATGGGTATACGATAATGTCTTGGGAAATAAAGGTGGCCGGCGTGATCTTGATCACATCACCTATGGGTCTCAGTGGCAAAGTGGTCTAGCATTTTCCTGGCGCTCTGGTCATGAGTTCATTTCATGGCTGCAATGTTCGGTTCATGAATGCAATTTTTATGGAGACCCCAGGGATAGTAACTGGAGCTAATGTGTTCATGCTTTCAGCGAGGCTCTCTGCAGGTGGCAGGCCATTCTGCGGAGAAAGACTGAGGGACAAAACCCTGTGCAATGAGGCCGATCCTCTGAACTTTAACCTTTAACTTCAGCATCAACTACTATTTTGCAATGATCTATTAAAAATATGAGTCTAATATCACACGCCCAATATGCAAATGGTGTTTAAAAAAGTCCTTTGCTTTTTTACAATTTAAAAAAAAAAATTGTTATGGCTGTCGATCTGACTGTAGAAAATGAAATATCGGATAACTGAGGTTATGTAAAACCACTACATATGGGCTTGAGGGAAGGCTAACCTAGACAACAAATGTGTCTCGGATGTGTCGGTCGAAAGGCCCAAGTATCGCAGCCATGTTGTAAACAGGCACAACACATTTACATCTTCAGATGAACGCAAAAGAAGAAGAAGAAGAAGAAGGGTTTTAATAACTTATCCCACTGAATCTTGCAGCTGGTTTATATCAAATAAAAAGAGAGTTAAAGACAGTTCTTCCTAAGTGTGTTCATGATGCCCCATTTTTTAAGGATTAAAAAAAAACGGTCCTCTGAACAAGCATGCAGTAAGAGGGGACTAATTAGAAGTTTGGTGAAATTAGATGAGTTGAGCCAAAAGCGGCAGATGGGTTTCTAGCCTAGCTGTAAACCACAATGTTTCAACTGCTATTTTTAAAGGAAAAGGGGGGGGGGGGGGGGGGGGAGAGAAAATAAAGGTGACTTAACTCTTTCAGACCCAGATGGTTTGAAAAAAGAAACCCAAATAAGCAAAATAAACACAGTGAAAAAGGCAGCATATGACTTTAAAAGATACAGAATATACTGTGCTGCACTTAAAATATTCTGCAGATTTCTTTTGCACACCCAGACCAAACATGGGGTTTTTAAAAAAACACAGCATGTGTTACGTTCACATGGTGGGCTGCCTCGGATAGAAAGAGTTAAGGCCTGTCAATCTGATCATGCTAAAAAACAAAATCAACTAACATGTGTTACGTTCACATGGTGCGTTGCCTCGGATAGAAAGAGTTAAGGCCTGTCAATCTGATCATGCTAAAAACCAAAATCAACTAATACATGTGTTGTGTTCACATGGTGCGTTGCCTCGGATAGAAAGAGTTAAGGCCTGTCAATCTGATCAAGCTAAAAACCAAAATCAACTAATACATGTGTTGCGTTCACATGGTGCGTTGCCTCGGATAGAAAGAGTTAAGGCCTGTCAATCTGATCATGCTAAAAACCAAAATCAACTAACATGTGTTATGTTCACATGGTGTGCTGCCTCGGATAGAAAGAGTTAAGGCCTGTCAATCTGATCATGCTAAAAACCAAAATCAACTAACATGTGTTACGTTCACATGGTGCGTTGCCTCGGATAGAAAGAGTTAAGGCCTGTCAATCTGATCAAGCTAAAAACCAAAATCAACTAACATGTGTTATGTTCACATGGTACGTTGCCTCGGATAGAAAGAAGTTAAGGCCTGTGTTTTGCTAAAAACCAAAATCAACTAACATGTGTTACGTTCACATGGTGCGTTGCCTCGGATAGAAAGAGTTAAGGCCTGTCAATCTGATCATGCTGAAAACCAAAATCAACTAGTACATGTTCAACGTACCCATTTCTGCAGCCACAAGCAAAACTGTTTTTCCTTCTTTGTCCTTTATGGCTGCACTGTCTGGTGTAAGGAGTGTCTGTGTTTATAAAAAAAAAAAAAAAAAATTTGAAACATTAATAATGTAACAAAAACAAAAGTACTAATAATTGTTGTATGTTAATAACAATAATTATAACTCATGCAGTTGTGTATCTATGGCTAGGTTTCTCAAATCAGACAGATAGACAGATCAGGGAATGGGGACAAGATATGTATTAAAAACAAAAGAGAGAACTATAAATGTCAAATAAGTTTTAAAAGTTTCTTTTAAAGGTGATTGCAGAAAAAAAAAACGCCAGCAATTTTTTTTTTTTTTTTTTTTTTTGCTGTTTGGTTTTCGTAGGCAATTTTTATTCAGTAGTTTGCCACTGCTTTCTGAATCTCCATACCACTGACAAAATCAGCATAAAGCAGTCAAGCTGGAATAAAAACTGGTATTTTGGAGTTGAAAAGCACATTCACACCTAAGTCGCAAATGCCAACTCTCAGAGAAAAAAAAAAAACGATACAATACAGACACCCAGACAAAATACAACAAAGATATCTTCTTCTTCACCTTTTTAGCGTTCACCAGCTGCAAACCACAGAAGAAAGTTTTGGTTGTTCGTCCACTTCTGGCCTGTAGTCTTGTTCCATAACTTGAGTTCTTTGTGCATATCTATGTCACATATCTAGATTATATGCCTCATGTGCAGATTGTTGGTTCCTTACCTTTCAGGCTGATACACTCTGACTTTGAAGGAAACACCCATAATTAGCTGTCTTTTAAACCTTTGTTTTCAAAATGGTGGATAGTAGTGGTGTTTATTTTCGCTGGTTGTCTATTCTCTCGGATTAATCTGTTTCTTAATCATGGACTGCTATTTTGTGCACATTTCCAATGGAGGATACTATGTGTTTTTTGTGGGAGCAGCGTGTATTGGGGTTGTGCTATGTGTTTTTTGTGGGAGCAGCGTGTACTGGGGTTGTACTATGTGTTTTTTGTAGGAGCAGTGTGTACTGGGGTTGTACTATGTGTTTTTTTTGTTGGAGCAGCGTGTACTGGGGTTGTGCTATGTCAGGGCAGGATATTGACCAATAGTTTTGGCAGCCTCGAACACACTGCCTTCGCAATGTTTTGATAGCAGCGGCCCACTCAGGTCGACAGAATCTTGTCAGCAGGGTACAGCAACTGTCTAGAGAGCAAACTTGATAAAAGCTGTCCCCAGAAACATAATGTGTCAACAAATTTTTGGGTGCAGAGGAATTGACACACACGGTTAACTCAATGGCCATGGCCATCTGTCTTTTACGACAAGCTTTATGGAGGAATGAGGGTCAATTTTTCCCCTCCTCACCCCTACAATAAAGTCCTAAAACCCACAGAGGGACAATAGTAATACAGATTTTAAAACACAGTACACTCTAAAATATGCAATACGGACAAACAAAAATCAAGATAAATGAACCCAGTACAACCAGACAAGGAATGAACACAATCACCTGTAAGCACTCCAAGGGCTGACTCCGTCTGACAGACCAATGCATCCACGTTCTACCATTTGCATCCCGCTCAATGCCATCGTGCTCCTCCACCATGTTGTCAGCCTGGCACAGGAGCTCAAAGTGCTGAATGTTGTCCATACGGCAGGCCCACATCAGTGGGGTCAACAGGTCCTTGTCCCGGGTGCCTACAGAGGCTCCGTGTGCTAGCAAGATCTGACAGATAAAACAGCACTTTTATTTGACAACAGCAGCAGTGGTAGTAACAATAACAGCAGCAATATTAATAACACCAGCGATAACAATAACAGCAGCAATAACAATAACAGTATCTGTAGCAACTGCAGAACAGCAACAGCAGCAGGAGAGAAGTATATGTAACACAGTACCACTTGCAACAAAAACAGCTTCTGTAGACTAATAGCCACTGCAGTGTCAATAGCAGCAGCAGTTTCAATAGTATTGCAGTAACAAAAGTTGAAGAAACAACAGCCTCTGTAGACTAATAGTCACTGCCGTGTCAATCATCATCAGGTGCCTTGCCGACTGGCGTGGGCGATCATGCCTCTCCACAATCTGCGATCTCCTGCAGCATGTATCAGTTCGTGTGCCGACACACCTCCATGCCATGCAACAAGACTGTCAAGCATCTTCTCTCGTTGTCTTCCTCTATCTCTCCTTCCACAGATCTTTTCCAGTGGTCACAAGATGTTCTATTTTCCCTCTTCTCATAACATGGCCGAAAAATGATGACTGTCTCCTTCTGATGTCTGTGATAAGTTGTCTTCGGGCTCCCGCCTCTTTCAAAACCTCTTGGTTGCTCTTTTTGGCTGTCCAAGGTATTCTAAGCATTCTTCTGTAAAACCACATCTCTGAGGCCTCTAAAAATTGTTTGGCCTGTCTACCGATTGTCCAGGATTCACAGCCGTGTTAATAGCAGTAGCAGAAACAATAGGTCTCCTTGTGACCTAATTAAAGAAGACCTTTTGCTCTTTCTTACAGTTCTGTATAATGTTCTACTTTTGTTAGCTTTTTTTAGACAGTCACCGTTGGCAGTCCTAAATATATGACTCGTGAGTCTCCTACCTCTATGCTTTACCAATGTTTTTCTTCATTCAAAGATTTACTGCCTTACTGCAGAGATCAGATTTGATTATTCTCTTTCAAACATTTAGTGAAAGTGACTTGCTATTAAATATATTTTTTATCTTCTTAAATGCAGTGCTCGCTTGGCTTGTACAGCTGTTAAACCCATCGCCTCAGGAAGTCTAAATCAAATCACTTCTGGTTGTGATACAGCCCTGTAAATGTCGATTTATCGCTATTTCTGCAGTGAATATTCTGAAAAGGCATAGTTAAGTGCCGCTGTTTGTGTGTGTGTATTTTTATGCCTGCATAGTGTTTAGGAAACCCTTTTCTTTTCATATTTTATAAAGACATATGAATTCAAGGACCCTTTCCCACGCCTTCAGGCATATTGGGCATATAGGGCTAGACATATATATTTTATAGAACAACCGGCACTTGGTGGGTGATGTGGTCAACTGGCGGGCATCTTTGACATGGAAAGAAAATTGCTGCAGACTGCACCTGGTACACAGTCAAGGCTGGGTCCACCTGGGAGCTGATAGTGATTTTTAGTTGTTTTAGGAAAGTCATATTTTTTAAGGATATAAAACCTGGACCCTTTTTTTTCCACCAGAACCCACAGGACTACACCTGGGACCCAGTCAAAAGCTGGGACCTTCCCATCTCCCATCTAGCCACTACACCACGAAGGAAGGAAACAATACACATGGTAAAGCATTAAATGGAATACATTCCCTGGGGATTATAAAAAAAACTATGAACCCTTGTTCTCTATCGCTGAGTCTTAAGGGAAAATATGATGTCAATTTGGCTTTAAAAGGCTCTCTGGTGCAAAGGTAACTCCTCCCACCCCCACCCGCAAATGCTTTTGGTAAATGTATTTACATCCATTTTCATATCATATTCATATCGTAATGCCGGGTTGCCGGGGTTCGATCCCAGCTCCGGATGAGTTGTCTTGCTATAGTTTTAACAGTACTACTAAGTGTTGACTTTTCAGGAAGCAATGGCAAACTATTTAATGTAAAATTTGCCTAGAAAAACCACATCAGCCAAAAAATGTTGGGGATGGTTCTGCAACGTGCTGTAAAGGATAGGCAACTGACTCATTATTCAAATCCTGACCTACTAAACATTTGTGCAGTCATGGAAACAGCCAATAGCATTAACCAGTCATCTCATAAACAGGTCACTATAGAAAAGTGACTTTCACTGGAAATCTGACCCAACCAAAAGTGTTTGGTTTTGCGACTTCTCATGGTGAAACTTCTTTTTCTTCTTCTTCTTCAGCATTCCGAGCCCTTCAGGTTCATTGCTGCAGATATCACCCGCCTTCTCTTTCCAGTTAATGAAACCAAGTGTTTGCAGGTTTGATTGGATATTATCTCTCCATCGTCTTCTTGGTCTGCCTCGTGGTCTACGACCATTCATCCCCCTCGTGTAGACAGTTTTTTCTTTTATTTCTTCTATGTCATCTAACATTCTTTCAATATGCCCTAACCATTTCAGTCTATTAGCTCTCATGGTAAAACAGTTTACAATATTTAAAAACAGAATGAACATCTTCTAACTTTCTTTTAAGAAGAGTGCAATACCTGAAGGCACTCAGTGCTTTGTGTAGTGACCGCCCAGTGGATGGAAGCTCTCCCATGCACGTCACAGATTGTAAAATTGCCATCATGATCGATCAACATTTTCAAGGCGACATGGTTTGCATCATGACATGCCCTGTGCAAGGCTGTGGACTCATCTGTTGAAATATTTATAATTTATTTATGTAATATAGTGACAATAAAATATACTACTCAAACAAAACAAAACAACAACAACAAAAAGCGGAAAGCTTTTGACAAGAATATAATTTTGAATTTCAAAAATCGCTGGAATTTAATGAAAGAAACTGTTCAAATTGTATGCATGAACACCTTAGGGTTCAACTAATCAATCGATAGTTCTTATGAGTCTAGGTCATTCATAGTTTTTGGCAACAGGCTTCCCCATCAATTAATAGAAATGTGCCATCAGATAAATGTGTATGTGAGTGTGTGTGTGTGTGTGTGTGTGTGTGTGTGTGTGTGTGTGCGCACGCTCTTTTTTTTTTTTTTTAAATACTCTATTATTGACAGCATCAACTGATTATCTGTCTTGATTGTTCCCAAGTCGCCCAGCCTAAAACGGGTACCAGGTCATTTTAAAGGAAGTCAAGGCGGCTGGTTTGATGTTAACCTCATCACCCATTGAGTGATTATTGGTCTATGAAAATACAGATCTTGCTAAATGTTCCATGAGAGCAAAAAAAGCGGCCACGATTTTTAACTTTTTACTTTGTCAAAAAAAAATTTTTTGTTTTTTGTTGTTGTTGTAGCAAGCAGTTTTCTCCATTAGCGGGGGTCTCCGCTGCAAAGTGATATAGCCATTTGCTTTGTGCTCTGAAGGTCATGGGTTTATTTCAAGGCTGCGCTTTTCAGTTCGCATGTGAAATTTTTACGGGGATCATCGCCAGAGCTATGGAGTTTGTGGCGGCACTCTCAGGTGTCTAACCCTTCAGCAGAGAGACTGAGCCATATGGGATATAGCCCGGTGCAATGAAATTGATCCTCTTGGCTTTAACCTTTAGCTTTAATCTCCGTTAGTGCTCATCTCCTCCACCAGACCAGTCAAGTCGACCTTTAGCTTTAGTCTCCGTTAGTGCTCATCTCCTCCACCAGACCAGTCAGGTAGACCTTTAGCTTTAGTCTCCGTTAGTGCTCATCTCCTCCACCAGAACAGTCAGGTAGACCTTTAGCTTTAGTCTCCGTTAGTGCTCATCTCCTCCACCAGAACAGTCAGGTAGACCTTTAGCTTTAGTCTCCGTTAGTGCTCATCTCCTCCACCAGACCAGTCAGGTAGACCTTTAGCTTTAGTCTCCGTTAGTGCTCATCTCCTCCACCAGAACAGTCAGGTAGACCTTTAGCTTTAGTCTCCGTTAGTGCTCATCTCCTCCACCAGACCAGTCAGGTAGACCTTTAGCTTTAGTCTCCGTTAGTGCTCATCTCCTCCACCAGAACAGTCAGGTATACCTTTAGCTTTAGTCTCCGTTAGTGCTCATCTCCTCCACCAGAACAGTCAGGTAGACCTTTAGCTTTAGTCTCCGTTAGTGCTCATCTCCTCCACCAGACCAGTCAAGTAAACCTTTAGCCATTGACCTGATTTTTCTAGCGCTGGCAAGGGTCAAAATGTGCAAGTATGAGAATCACATATTGTGTGTATGGGAGTATGTCTGAGCGCCCGCACGTGTGTAACTGTGTGTAGACTTCGCCATTTTTCCTGGCAGTACACAAGGGAACACAGTTATGGTGCCTGTATCTAGAATATTTTTTTTAAGCGCTACAGTAATAAACACTTTGTGGTGAGCACCAATACACATATTTTTCTTCTATTCAGTGGAATATTCTTAGTTTATTTATTCATTAATTTGTCATTCCTTCCCTCTTCTCCCTCTGTCTCTCTCTCTCTTTCTCTGTTGAGTTTCCCCCTCTGGATTGTTGTCTATAAGATTAACATCTCAAGGAAGAGAATCAAACAGGTACAAATTCAGGAAACCATATAACACAGTTATACTGGGCCACCACAAAATGGTTATCCAGTGTAGTCCAGTATTAGTGGGTGTTCAGATGGTCATTCTCTCACTCACTCTCTTTCTCACCCTCTTTCTCTCACCCTCTCTCTCTCTTTCTCACTCTCTCTCTCTCTCTCAATCTCTCTCTCCTTCCTACACACACACATTTTTACCAACCATGTGCCTGGGCATTCACATCAGCCCTGTGCTCCAAAAGAAACTGCAGTGCTTCGTGCCGAAAGAAATGCACTGCATACATAACAGCGGTCCTGCCGATCCCATCAATGCAGTCTACACTGCTAGCATCTGTTAAATGAAATATATTGTTTATTTACTCCATTTTTTTTTAGGGTAAAGTTATGAGAAAAATGAAACTGGAAAACATGCTGTAACAACTGGAAAAGTCTGTGGAAGGAGAGACAGAGGAATACAATGCGAGAAGATTCTTTACAGCTTTTTGTCATGACATGAAGGGATGACCAACACATGAATTGACACACACACAGTTGCTGATAGCAGACAGGCATGATCGCCCATGCCAGTCACTTGAAGATGATGATGATGATTTATTCCTTAATGGAGATGGTCGATAACTTACGCCTGTGATATGCCATCGATATAGCTCTGATTGCTGAAAATTAAACGCAACTGAATAAATTATGGTCATAACTGTAATAGAAAGTCAAAACAAGGATCTTAGTTTGAACAGCAGAAAAACAGAAGTAAAGGTAATTTATATGAACCTCAAAAACTAACATCAAAGTAAAGGGGACAAACCTTATGCAAGTTGATTTGTTAAGTACTTTGGTAACTTGATATAAATTTTTTCATTATATTTATTTTTATATAAATATAACACTGATCACTCTCTCCCGAAGGACCCTAACAACATCTAGCTTCCCATGCATTAATTCCCCACCAAGTGGTGCAGAACCAGCCAGTCTATCTGCAAGTTCATTCCCCACCACACCGGCATAACCGAGAAAAAATATCCAAAGGACATTCTGCATAAAGCATACTTGTCTCCACCTTTCTCAATATGCTCTTCCTAGGATAATGTAAATATCTGGCTAGCTCTGCACAACTTAGTGGAATACTGATGCATGATAAGGCAGATGGGACCTGTTCACTTTTCCAGGCCCAGGGTTAGAGTAACTTCCCCTGCCATTCATGCCTCCTTAGGTCGCTGGACCTCTCTAATGTTGGGGGGGGGGGGGGGGGGGGGGGGGGGTATGATATGGCTTGGTTTGGCGTTTGCTCTGCGTATGTAATGTCTGTGGGAAGTTGTGTTGCCAAGAGACTATTTCAGGCACCACAGGTAGCTGTGTACAAGTAAGAAGTACTGCAGGGGGAAGCTCCACAGGCAAGACGATTCTTAGCTATAAAAAACTGGGATGTCTGCGTTCGCTGGCGGTGACCCTCCCCCCGTTTTCCATACTCCCGAACCATCACGCAGGTAGCAGAACGTGAAAATAACCATGCAAGTGAGTGGTGAGAGGATGAGAAAAGAGATAATGGTTACACCGTTCACATTAAGGAAAACATTACTTCCCCGCAACATAGGAGAGGTCCAGCGACCTAAGGAGGCATGCATGCCAAGGGAAGTTACTCTAATCCTTGGCCAGGAAACGTGAACAGCACCAGCAGACGTGATTAGGGCGGTGTGGGAGAGTGTGTACAATTCAGAAAAGCAAATGGATCACCACAGTCTTGTGAGAGTGATGCAGCGGGGAGTGATGAGGGGTTCTGGCAGATGCTCGAGGCTCAGAGGAAAGGCATGATGGGCATTTAACCAGAGTGCTACTGGCACCACTGGTATTGGAACTCTGTGCTGGCTGCTGAAGATGGGGACAGAGCGCTATTGTGATGTTGGTTCTTGAGTCAAATCAACTGTGTCAAAGATTTGATGTCATCACAAATTTTGTTCCACTTGAAATTGGGGGGTCATCCTATACATTGAATGTCTATAAAATATTTATTTATCAGTTTCGGGCTTTAAAAAAAAAAACGTGTCATTTTGTACACTGGGGCATTTTATGCACAGAAAAATACAGTAATTAAAGAATATCTTTTTTTTTTTAATACACAAGCAATCACTTACCTTCTTGTATAATATCATGCAGAAGTCCCACATCTCCATTTTTTGCTGCCTCAATTATAGGAGGAAGCACCACAAAGTGGACACTGTCCACTAAAGACATGTTTGTGATATTTCTTGTGTTGTCCAGATTTACCTAGGAAAAACACAGCGTAGTGAGTCTTCTTTCTTCATCTTGTCCTTCTTCTTTCTTCGTCTTCTCACTGATACCAGGTTATAGCCCAGTTTTGTGGTCTTTTTGTATTTGTCGTGCGCTTCTCGGGTGGCTTGAGTGATGGATTTATTCATCTTTTTGCAGGTTTCAACTACACCATTTATCCATCTCTTTCTTGGTCTTCCTCTTGCCTTCCGCTCAGATGTTCTACTGTAAAAAGTCATATGCAGTATGATCTGGCTGCATTTTCACTAGATGGCCAAACCATTTCATTCTTTGCCTGTCAGTATAATCCAGACATGGTCTTATTCCAATTTTCTCTCTAAAACTGGTATTCGCAATCCTGTCTCATCTAGTGTTGTTAGCGACCTTGCAGAGACAGCGCATTGCACATGTAGTTATTTTCTGTTCTAGCACCCTATTCATTGTCCATGTTTGGCATAGCATAGTGAGTAACAAATAAAAATACAGCCCCTGACAGAAAAACTCCATCACCATACTGAAAGTTGAACTCGGGTCTCTATCTAAACCACTCTTCATTTGTCATTAAAAGAGGAAAGGAAGTATCTACTGAAGTTAAGTGCAGTTAAAGACCCTGATCACGACACTGGGGATATAGTGCTTAGCTAATTTTTTTATTAACCAATCGGCATTTGATGGGTGATATGTTCAAAATCGATTGGCTGCCTTTACTTTTTAGGACATTTTCTGTAAACCATTTTAGACTGGAGAGTCGCCGTGGTGTAGCAGCTAGAGCCTTGCCTGCAGATCAAAAGATCGTGAGTTTGGGTCCTGATGGAGCTGGACTTTTTTTTTTTTTCAAAATTGGCCTTGGCTCCTAGTCGACCCAGCCCTGAGTGGGTACCAGGTATAGTCCTAGGAAGTAAAGGTGGCCAGTGTGGCAAGTGGTCTACAAAAAATAGATCCAGTCCTATATTTACAATACGCCTGAAGGTGTGGAAAAAGGTCCTTTACTTTTAAACTTGAAAAAAAAAATTTAATTTTAGCCTGGGTCAACCAGTGATCCAAGAGCACCTGATAAAAGTCTGTGTTGATCCAGATTCAAACCCAAGCATTTTGGGCCAGCAGGCAAGGATCTAACCATATTTAGATTATGACCCTTTCACCTCGTGAAGGAATTTCTTGAACTCAAAAGGGAATTCTTTACAAAAAACAAACAACCAAACACATAGACCAGCACTAATACATATGTATAATATATATATGTGGTGTGTGTGTGTGTGTGTGTGTGTGTGTGTGTGTGTGTGTGTGTGTGTGTGTTGTGTGTGTGTGTGTTTGTGTGTGTGTGTGTGTTGTGTGGGTGTGTGTGTGTGTGTGTGTGTGGTTGTGTGTGTGTGTGTGTTGTGTGTGGTTTGTTGTGTGTGTGTGTGTGTGTGTGTGTGTGTGTGTGTGTGTGTGTGTGTGGTGTGTGTGTGGTGTGTGTGGCTTTGTGTGGTGTGTGTGTGTGGTGTGTGTGTGTTGTGTGTGGGTGTGTGTGGTGTGTGTGTGTTGTGTGGGTGTGTGTGTGGTGTGTGTGTGTGTGTGTGTGTGTGTGTGTGTGTGTGTGTGTGTGTGTGTGTGTGGTGTGTGGTGTGTGTGGTGTGTGTTGTGTGTGTGGTGTGTGTGGTGTGTGTGTGTGTGTGTGTGGTGTGTGTGTGTGTGTGTGTGTGTGTGTGTGTGTGTGTGTGTGTGTGTGTGTGTGTGTGTGTGTGTGTGTGTGTGTGGTGTGTGTGTGTGTTGTGTGTGTGTGTGTGTGGTGTGTGGTGTGTGTGTGTGTTGTGTGTGTGTGTGTGTGTGTGTGTGTGTGTGTGTGTGTGGGTGTGTGTGGTGTGTGTGTGTGTGTGTTGTGTGTGTGTGTGTGTGTGTGTGTGTGTGTGTGTGTGTGTGTGTGTGTGTTGTGTGTGTGTGGTGTGTGTGTGTGTGTGTGTGTGGTGTGTGTGTGTGTTGTGTGGTGTGTGTGTGGTGTGGTGTGTGTGTGTGTGTGGGTGTGGTGTGGTATGTGTGTGTGTGTGTGTATGTGTGTGTGTGGTGTGTGGTGGTGTGTGTGTGTGTGTGTGTGGTGTGTGTGGGTGTGTGTGTGTGTGTGTTGTGTGTGTGTGTGTGTGTTGTGTGTGTGGTGTTATATATAAACTGTTTTAAAGCACTTGGGAATGTATCCCAGTTAATGCTTCACACTATATTTAATGATAACTCACTTTTTTTTTTGTTTATATATTTTAGAGAAATTTTTTTTTTACATAGTTACTTATTTTTAAAAGTTTGATTTTATTATTTAAGGATTGGGTGGTTGGGGTGGGGGGGGGGGGGGGGGGGGTGGGGGGGGGTGGTGGGAGGGGGGGGTTACCGGGGCGATAAGTTTAAAATTTTATAAATCAAAATCAGGGAGAAGCTGAAGACAAGTGGGCAAGAGGTCGGCAGCCATATAAATATAACATCAAGACATGGATAAACTGGTGTATCAGAGAGTATCCAACCATGAGAGACAATTTTAAAGATCCACTGTAGCCAGCTTTCAGCCGTGGAGACGACACCTCATTGATTCTTTTTCTTCTTCTTTTTCTGTGTTCGCAAACAAGAGGGCATTTGACATGTTTTTGCCAAACCCCACCCACCAATGGGACTCAGAACCCAAAAAGAGAACCTGACTGCTTGACTTTTTGGTATCAATGTCTCAATATAGAATAAAATAAGGAATCTTAACAAATATGGCATACCCATCTCCAAATGAACTTGTCTGGAGCATCAACAAATGGGGTCATCGGGCTCAACCCTCGAGCTGTCAAGGACAGTGTATGCCCATTTTTTTCTTGAGATCTTGACTGTATGAGCCTTTTTCAAAAGATTTGATGAAATAATTAGTTCTGGTATTTCTATCATAAACTACAGATGTAATACATCAGTATTGAAATATACTGCGGCGTGGATGACTTAGATTAGGCGTTGCAAGTCTGACTTGTAATTCCAATGTACCGCAATCGAAACCCACTACTGGCTGCGTGGATTTTTACCATGGTATGGGGGCCTCGCAGGTCGACCAAGCCTAAAACTGGTACCAGGATGTGTGTCCTGAAGAAGTAAAGATGGCCAGCATAATGCTGACCACATTACCCACCTAGTGCCGATTGGTCCGTACAAATATGGGTGCTCTTCCCATATGCCTGATGCGCCTAAAGGCATGAAAAGGGATTTTTACTTTACTTTTTACTATTTAAATATATCAGTTTACGCACATGTCTAAAAGGTGTGGGCGCCACATGGCTCTGCAGTCAGCAAGGTTTGGATAAGCTAATCTCTCCCATCTATATCCTGTAATGACAGGCGTACAGCACAGCTTCTACTGTTAGGAATATTTTGTGAAAGACCTCACCGTCAAGATAAGTGCTTTATTTGTATTCTTGTAAGTAACTGTGTCATTGTCCATTTGTGTCTTGTGCTGATGAAGTCTTTCTAGCCGCAGCGTTCATTTTGTCATTCGTGAACATGGTATTGTGAAGCTGACAAGTTAAACTTATCATTTGCTTGAACTTGATTTTGTGTGCACATCCATTTAGTCAATTTGGCTTATTTCCATGCAAACTGTGTTGCATTGGTATGCCGTATTTGGGACAGTCTTGGAGGATGTGATTTGCTGTCTCAAGTGCCAATCCACATTTGCACATGGCTGGTTCACCAATCTTAAAATGTCAAAGTCAACTGTGCCCTGTTCTAAAGTGTACAATAATAACTAGCTCTGGTCTGTCCCTAATATGGTAATCGTCCTGAGCCGGTTTGTGTGGCCTTCTGACTGTTTCCCACTCACCCCCACCCCTCACCCCCAACCCAAAAAAGGGGGCCACAAAACCCACACAATGATCGGACATTCAATAACAGTGATTTCTTATTGTCACTGCCATATTGAGTCGCCGTGGCCGAGCGGCTAGACGCTCGCCGCAGATCGGAAGGTCGTGGGTTCGCTCCCTGGTGGAGACGGACTTTTCTTCAAAAATGACTTTGGCTCCCAGGTCGACCCAGCCTTGAGTGGGTACCGGGTGCAATCCCGGGAAGTAGAGGCGGCCGGCGTGATGCTGACCACATCACCCATCTTGTGCCGTTGGTCTATACAAATATAGGTCTAGCCCTATATGCCCTCTACGCCTAAAGGCGTGGAAAGGGTCCTTTACTTTTTTTTTTTTTACTGCCATATTTATCATAATATAATTCTTCAAGAAAACTAAAATAACAACACATTAAATTCTTACCTGTAATATTTCTGCATATGCAAAAGTGCCAAATTGAGTGTATCTCGTACCTCTGCACACTCCACATCTTCACTGAGTTTGAGTAAAAACTCATGAATAAAGGCAGCAGCTTTCTGAAAATCTGGCAAGGAGTACAACAAACAAGCTAAAAAATATTGAAACAATATTTACAATTTATAAATTTCAACAAAGATAATATAATCAACTGTCCTTTATGGTTCTGTAACTTTGTACAACTAAACAAGATAAAGCCTTATTGCAAACTTTTAAGAACAGAGTCTTGTCATGAATCTTTAGACCCAACAAAAATGAAAATGAACAAAACATAACCGTTAACCTGTTAGATAGGTGAGGTGTGGTTGAAGCACTAACACACAAAACCCGCCATCAGTATCTTTCTTCTGCTTTTTGAATAAGTGTGTGATAACTCAGTCCAGTCCATTTCTTGATAATGTCATTCCAGTTTTCTTTTTTCTCCTCTTCTTCGACTACTCCCAGTGTTTCTTGAGGTACAGCCTTCGCAATCGAAAGGTGTCTCACAACGTGCCCAAATCTACCTAGTTTGCGACATCTGACCACTGCCAAGAGAGGCTCCTGATGTCCTGCTAATTTATTTATTTTGTCTTTGACATTCTGTTAGTTTTATATTCTAAAAAACTAATCCGTAAAATTTGTCTATAGCAGTTACATTCAAAAGCCTGAAAAAGGAAAAAACTGCCATGTGTTGAATACTCTGAGAATCCTTTCAAAAGATGTTTCAAAATAATTAAATAAACTGTTGCTGTGACAGTCTGTCCCTCTGGAATTAGAATGTTATCACGCTGGAACCCGCAATGCTGACAACAAGACAAACCAAAAATAACTTGGAGAACAGAATTAGAGACAATGGTTAATACAAGGACATGGAGTGAACTGTGCAGGATGGCAGTGGATTGGACGGTTAGGAACATGCTAGTTTTAGTTTAAGGACTATGCACCACTGAGGAATAGGCACCAGAAGATATAAGAACTAAACCTACTACAGTACCTGATGAGAACTCACCAGTGATCCAGGAAGTGGTTCTTCTTATCAGCAATTCCTGTTATCCAAATAAGAGTTTAATCAAGAAAAATTGCAGAAGATTAGAAAAAATTGCTCTTCACAACAGAAATATGTCACATCCAAGATTGTCTTAAGCAGTCTGCATTGTATAAGATTTCCAGGTAGAGTAACAAACAGAAATTGTGAATACACATTTATATTTCTACAAGTGCACAGTGTAGTTCAGGGAGCTGCCGCGGTGTAGTGGTTAAACACTCACCTCAGGCATGAAGGTTGTAGGTTCTTGGGAATGGATTTTTGATGAAAATAACTTTGGCACCTTAGTCGAACCAGGGTAAAATGGTCACTAGGCAAATTCTTTGAAAGTAAAAGCGGCCAGTGTGGTGTTATCCACATCAACCACTGACTGCTGATTGGTCTAAAATACAGATCAAGCATTATTCTTCTTTTAGCATTATAGATCCAGTACACCTAATGGCGTTAAAAAGGGTCCTTTACTTCGCAGTGTAGCTGCCAAAAGTCGTCCTCATGTGGGATGCAAGCTTTTGTTATTTAAAGCCCCAACCTGGCTTTTGCCGGGGGCCATAAACATAGCCAGACCATGAATATGGCATAACAGCTGAAAGGGATTTCTGGGGCCTCTCCACGGGTGATCCTCATCCGCATGGTGGCACTTTGTGTCACCATGGTTTATCGCTTGTGTAATGTCCTGGTGGAGTACAACAAGAGTCAAAGAAAGAGAGAGACAGTGTAGCTCAAATACGGCTCACATACAAGTATAAGGATGGACAGATGGAATAACGGAGGTCATGAATACCAGCACTGTGTAGATTTTATTATCATGATATTAACACTTTGAGTCCCAAAGAACGCATCATACATTCATAGATTCCTACTTAGAAGCCCAATGAACGCATGATATGCCAATTTTACGTCTCTCTTGACTACCCCTTGGGCCTGTGATGCTAAACCCGCTGGGACTCAAAGCGTTTAAAAGTATGTGTCGAAATTCTTTCCTGCTTATTTCCATAAGTACATTTACAACTTTTCTATAAGTGACGTGAACTATAACTCGCCTGTCATTTTTTATTTAATCGTACTCTCTTCTCTCTCTCCTTCTCTTCTGTATCCCTATCCATATATTTTATCTTGTTTATCAGGTGCCTTGACTACCCCCTCTGTGATGCTCTCTCTCAAAGCTTCTCTTCATATGTTTATTCCTGCTTATTTCCATAAGTATTTACAATATAGTTACGTGAACTATAAGTTACTCGCCTGTCATATTTTTATTTATCGTACTCTCTCTCTCTCTCCTTCTCTTCATTTATCCCCTATCCTATTTAATATATTATATCTTGTGATATCATTAGGTGCCTTGTCGACTGGCATGGGTGTTCATGTCTATCCACAATCTGCGATCTCCTGCAGCATGTATCAGTTCGTGTGCCGACACACCTCCATGCCATGCAACAAGACTGTCAAGCATCTTCTCTCGTTGTCTTCCTCTGTCTCTCCTTCAACAGATCTTGTGATATATTGTTGAATATTTCCTTGTTGTTCGCTAGAGCTATCATTGGTCCACACATTTAACTGTAAGTCATTTGGGGTGTTTGTTTAGTGTACTTTTTAAATAAATTAACGTATATTTTATTTAATTAATATTATTAAATTATGCTTCTGTCTGACAGAACAGTTCCTGTCCATTACGGTTTCCATAGCAACAGTTGAAATATGATCAAACAGTGACAATGCAGGTATATTAACTGTACTCTTTGTTTAAAATACAAAACTGAGACAGGCAAAGTTGTAAGAGAAAAGTATAATATCTGCGAAGAAGGGATCTGGCATTCAGAAACTCATCAAAATCGTCCTAAAAGTAATGGGCCTTGGCGTCAAATAAACAAATATGGCGGCGTTAGTAACAGTTCTTACCCTTGCGTTTAATAACCATATTTCCAATGGTATTCGCGCATACGTACTTTAAAACTTTGCTTCTAGCGTTTGAAGCTTTAAGTTAGGTTTAAAATTTTCATTTCATCGGTTATTCTGAAGTTTTATATTTAAATTTTCGCATCTGAAACAGGAGTTAAGGGAAAAACAGAATTGCTTTCAGAGCAATTCATCTACCCACAAGTCATTCTATTTCCGGTTTATGTAGTTTAGATAATATAGTTCACGTTTATTTTGCAAACATTTGGCTAAATTTTTTTTTTTGAATAACAAAAATGTATGATTGTCTTATTTGAGAAGTATTATTATGCAATGATTTTGATGAAAATCGCACAATTAGGGTTAAATAAATTTTCCATCCGAATATCACAACACTGAAAAGAAGTTCGCCCTTCGCTACGGCCGCCATATTGGTTAACTACTGAGATTTTTAGGAAGAGCTTCTAAATCTCTAAACATCTGCACAATTGTTTCATCTGGGGGGTTGTTTTCCTAACACTTTAGTGGGGGAGGGTCCTTTGTAATGGCCGATACAGATAAATTAAATATTGACAGTATTATAGCACGTCTTCTTGAAGGTAAGTTGTGCTCGAATTTGAGTATCTTTTGTTGATATATAGTAAATTATCATAAAGCTTGGTTGCTGTATATTCAATTTTGCAAGCTGTACAGTACACTGATGATATTATAGTAGTTTTGTTACAAGTGCCTGCTGTTCTGAGTATATCCACTGTATAATTTTTCTAATTTAATATATGCTTGGGTTTATAGATATGAATGTGAAGAGTACATTTGTGTTTTGTTTTTAGTTTATATTTATCATTTTTATGAAGTTCCGCATTCATTTCTCACGACAGTGAGAGTGACATTATATATTGGACAACTGTACCGTACGCGTACGGACCCATAGAACTCGAACCGCTATAAATACTTAAATTTGTTAAGTGCTAATAGTAAGAGTAAGAACTAAATTAAAACATTTCGAGTTTTTTTTTTCGGACATGGACATTTTCAACAATAGAACTGTGAACAAATTTACAAATAATAATTGACCAGAACAGAAATCCCAGTACCTTGATTACCACCAATTTTTTTTTTTTTCATCATTTTGATTTTCATATCAGCTATGCCATATGCATATATTCAGATAATATTTGATCAGTTTCTAGAGTGTAGAGTGTAATAGTGTAATCAGAGCTTACAGTAAACCAATTCTTTCAATGACGCCTTACCTTGAGAGATGAAATATCCTTGCAAATTTAAAATATGCTTGCCTCAACAGTTAAAGTTTAAAATCCAAACAAATCATACTTAATACTTATCATATAATCCACAGTAGGCTTATGCAGCACTAACTTATCAAGTTTAAGTGTAGTTAGGTTAGTTGCGTATCCTTTACAGGACCTTACAGAACCCACCCTATCCAGCCAGGGGCTGTTAGCCGCTGTTGTGTGGTTTTTCTAGGCAAATTTACGTCCAGTAGTTTGCCATTGCTTTCATGGACGGTCAGCTTTCTTGATACCACTGTCGAAACCAACGCAAGGCGCATGGCCCACAGCTGGGATCGATCCCGGCATTATGAATTGTTTGCGTCGACTTAGCCACAGGGCCGACTTAAGTGTAATTGAATTACAATTCTATAATAATTATAATAATTGCACTCATGTACCGATGTGTGACAGCTGATCATGGAAATCATTGTCTTTCACCTTGAAATCATTAACCCCCTGCTTGAGACGCCAGTCACAGTGCATCACATGGATCCTGGTCAGGTCTGTTGACTGGCTGAACTCAAAATTTTGTCATCACACTAGCAATTGTTACTGGTACACACAGAATGTTTAGCAGCATTCGTCTGCCCGTTCATTGGTGGTATCACTAGCAACTTTGGTCAAATTTTCAAAATCGTTTTATCCTCATAAAACAAGTACAGCTGCATCCGTATTGAAAAACCCTTTCCAACGGTGCCTCTTTCATGCCTCTATGTCAAGTCTAAGCAGAGTTATTGAAGTTTTTGTGGGAAAAGTTAACAAAGAAGAAAATATAAAAGTGAGCTGAAACTTGCTGCCCAGAAATCAGAAGTTTTAGAGTAGTGTTTAAAAACTGCTTTAAACTTATAAAGTATTTAAAACAGACCCTAGAAAACTATATATTTTTGGATTCAGGCAACAAGCTTTAAACCGAATAAACCTAAAATTTTAGTAGTAGTTACGCAATATCGACTAATAATTATTCAAAATGGCCGCCATTTATCATAATCATCAGTCGATATGTTCTCGTAAACTTTTATAACGTTCTTTTAAAGTATTAAAAATAGACCAAAGATAACAGATACTGTTGTGTTCAGGGCAGCAATGTCTAACTGAATATCTGAAATTTTTAGGTATTACATCATATCGACTAATATTATTTAAAAATGCCGCCAATTATCATGAAAAAATATTTTAATTAAAAAAAAATTTTAATGTTTTTTTTTTTTGTTATATGGGAAAATTATTTGCTGTGGGTATATTATATATATCCAGAGGCAAATTTTTTCTCACCCTGATAGAACAATCATGTAAGTCATTTGATAATTTAAGTCATGCTCTTTGGTCAGTTCTTTTTCAATATGGTGTCTAATTTATATTTTTGTTGTTGAATGGTGGAGTCTGAACAGAACAATCAACAAGCCATCAACATATCTGTGCATTAATCTTTATTGTCTATGTATATGTTAATCTGTTTATTAATCACCAATTGCCGCTCTTCTCGTAACATGACTAAAAGAAGTTTGTATCTTTCTCACAGGTTTACGTCATGGTAAAGTCTGAAAAAAAAAAGAAAAAAAAATTAGTGAAATAATGCATATACAAATATGCAGTAGTCATTTAAAAACACATTTTTTTAAATAATCGTGCAAACAATACATCAGAAAAAAGTCTCCGTCAAAATGTTTGTACGACTTACCTTTTTTCACTCGTCCATGTTTACAAAGCTGACAGTTCTGTAATCATGCAAGACTGAAAAAGAAAAAAAGTAACTATAAATAACATATATATATATACACACACAAACAATTCAATAAACATTTTAAAACAACAATTTCATTAATTGTGCAACAATACATCAGAAAAAAAGCATTAGCCACAAATGTTTGTACGACTTACCTTTTTCACTCGTCCATGTTTAAAAAGCTGACAGTTCTGTAATCATGCAAGACTGAAAAAGAAAAAAAGTAACTATAAATAACATATATATATATATACACACACAAACAATTCAATATAACATTTTAAAACAACAATTTCATTAATTGTGCAACAATACATCAGAAAAAAGCATTAGCCACAAATGTTTGTACGACTTACCTTTTTCACTCGTCCATGTTTAAAAAGCTGACAGTTCTGTAATCATGCAAGCCTGAAAAAGAAAAAAGTAACTATAAATAACATATATATATATACACACACACACAAACAATTCAATATAACATTTTAAAACAACAATTTCATTAATTGTGCAACAATACATCAGAAAAAAGCATTAGCCACAAATGTTTGTACGACTTACCTTTTTCACTCGTCCATGTTTAAAAAGCTGACAGTTCTGTAATCATGCGAGCCTGAAAAAGAAAAAAAAGTAACTATAAATAACATATATATATATACACACACACACAAACAATTCAATATAACATTTTAAAACAATTCATAATTGTATTGTATGTGCATTGATTGAGGTTAATAAGTAAGTCAATTGCTATAAGAAAAAAATTACATATATTTTATACTAACAAACCTAAAAAAATAAGATAAAGAAATTATAACTACTTATCTTTTTTCACCGTCCATGTCTGGAAGTTTACTTCTGGCTATCCTCAGAATAATCTGGCACAAAAACATCCAAAAAGAGCCTCGTCAGTCGCACGCTTCCGACGACTTAATTTGCGGTTTTCCTGCGACTACCACCACCGCAAGATTTCCCCACGCCGCTCATGAGGGACGTAGGGACTCTAAGTGGTGGCGGTAATCGGAAAACCGCAAATTAAGTCGACGGGGAGCGCGAAACTGACACATGACTGAGGCCCTGTTTTTGGCCGGCATTGGCCGCCATCTTTTGTACCCGTTATTCGGAGGATAGCCTTACTTCTACCCTTAGAAGCCTGTATCATCCCTGACGCTGTTCTGAAATAATACTAACAATGTGCTTTATTAAATTGTTAAACAATGCAAGATAAAAGAGAGTGTTACATGACTTTTTTATTACTCTAACATACAAATGCTTAATTTATTTTCTATTGCTTTGTTTTATATATGACATATCAGTTTAACAAATGTCAAATCTCCAGTGGCGAAGTCTGCTAGAAACTGTTTCATTGTCAAGGTGAAGGAGGTCTCTGCTGCTTGTTCCTCGTGCTCCTTCCAAGAAACAAAGTTCGATTTCCAGTTGTGAGAGGAATTTTATTTGTGTCCACATTTCTTATCATCTCGAAGTAAAACAGTCCTTTTCTCCATCATTCCAGATGTGCCGCAGTAACACAACTGACAGAGCATTAGTGTCACTCAAAAAAATTCTTAACATATCTTTTGACTCCTCAGCTACACTTTTAAAACAAATCTATCTCAAGTATTGCAAAACATGGACTTGGATTTTTTAGATTCTGCTGTCAGATCTCTCTCACATTTATCCCTAAGTGCCTTGTCCCACTTCTGCTAATTTTTTCCTGCTGACAATTTCTTCTGTACCTCAGACTGCTGCTGCCTCACCTTAGCTCGACGACGAACTGCAAAGTCTACCAGGTACTTTTGGAAGTCGTCATCAAATGTCTGCAGCCATTGGCAATGTTTTGTTTGGGCAGCCTTCACCTTTGCATCAATGAACCCCATGGTGGCATTGGAGCTTTTTTGCATCACTGAATCCACCCTTGCAAGATTTTCTCTCAGCCCCTATGTTATGGAATTCTGCAGATGATGCTTTTTAATCAATTCAGGAGACGGATTAGATAAGGGCCCATCTAAATAAAGGTTTAAACTGCCTATTAAGTGCTTTGAATAAAAGCCGCCGCTAAATTTTTTGGATACTAAGTTAAAATTTCACATGGAAACGAGTTGGTTCAATGCTGTCTTACGCAAATCCCTACCAAAAGCATCACGTTCCGTTCTATAAGGTACTCTGGTTCGCTTCAACTATCTTCAAGCCTTCGAGACAATCCTTCACCTGACTTACTGCTTCTAAATGACCAATTTCACTGTTGTCTGTATATAACAGCTGCATCCAAGGCCCTGTGACAAAACGTGAATATAAGCCCCAGCACCTGCAAGTGAAGCAGGACTCTCTCGTCTGTCAAGTTTTCATGTATTTTAACACAAAGTAATTTTGGCCGTTTGTGCTCGACAAACTGTGATCAATAAATCTCTGTGCAAAATAAATGACCGCTGCCATATGGAACATGACATTCAAACGATGTCCCGACATAGCGCTTGAAGATGCTGGATTGATATTTTTTTTTCTGCAAAAAAGCAATGAATGCACCTGGATCACCAGACCATCCTTGTGACGCAATTTTGATATCTGGTGAATCAGCATTGCAGCACGACATCCCAAGGCTGTTCTCTGATTGTCTTGCTCTGTAATGTGATCCTTTTCAAGCTTGTACAATCACATCACGGGCAGTTCTGGCAAGACCATCCAATGGGTGTACCATACACTTTCAGGTCGGCCAAATATCCGATGTCCCCCTGAAGTTTTTGGCTCACACAATGGTTGACAAGCAGCTCTGTCCGTCATGGTGCTGTTTATTTTACCTTTCACTGCCTCCTTGAAAGCAGCTACTGGAATCTTAAAAGCGTCACAGTACATCTCAGAAACATCAGATAGAGCCTCAAAGACGTGCCGGTACAGGATGTTCTGTTGTAGACCCTGAAATAACCCTATATTTAAAGTTAAAGACTGTTTACGACCTGATGTCATAAGAGTCACATGAACTTCATTAATATGGGATCCTTGTTTGTTGTTGAGTCCATGCCAGTGTAGCAGCATCGCACTCATGCAGCATCTGGCCAACCTGAATGTTGGCAAGTACCCCAAGTTCATACACCATCTGTGCTACTGTGGATACAGAGGGAACATTTAAAAGAATTTTGTTAAAGACAATTCCTGAAATAGACGATAACACACGTGAAATATTTGCAACACTGACATTATGCATCAAGCACTCATAGACTGACTGGCGAAATCTGTGAAAATATTTTCCTGCTTCTTTTGTTACAATATTGCGATGATCAGCTAAAGATTCTTCCAACTTGGCTACTTCATTTTCCAAATATGATACTATCACTTTCTCAACACTAGCCACATATTTGACCAAAATATATCTTAGTCTGTCTTCATTGTTCTCCGACACCGGCCTGTCCTAACATGGAATTTTTTATGAATCAACATCGATGAGGACTGCACTTGTCACTCTGAGCATTCCCAAACATGGTTCGTCACATTCCTCAGTAGTCAACAGAGTTCCTGTACTGATTGTGCCAGTTGCAAAACCTGATTAGAAGTCCACCCCCTTTTTTTTTTTTAACCCTGCGCATTAAAACTATACAGTATACAGCCAGTTTGAAAACCACCATCATCATTCAAAAGCTCCGTCTTCTTCTACTTGCAGAACATCACTCTCATCACAGCCTTGCACCAGATCTCCCACCTCATCCTCGCGTACTTTCCTACTTATATTCTTATATTTCACTTATTTCCTCTTTCCTGTAACCGTGCCTTCTGTTGTTCTTTCCCAATCCACTGTGGGATAGCAGGACTTCTACCTTTTATTCCCTAGGGAAGTGAAGGCCCACACTCAGCTGTCATTTACTTTTTGTTGTCCATGCTCATCTTGTCTTATACAAGGACTTCTGCCTTTTATTCCCTAGTGAAGTGAAGGGCACACTCAGGTGACACCAGGTTATGCTATTTACTTTTTGTTGTCCATGCTCATCTTGTCTTACACAAGGACTTCTGCCTTGTATTCCCTGATAGTGATACGGTATCAAAGTGCATAAGGGGATATTCTTTCAGACATACTGTGGTGAGAGCAATGTTCTGCAAAGGGACCTGTTAGGTGATATGTTATTTCAGTGTTTACTTTTGTTTGCAGTTCGTGGGTCTAGACCAGGCAAAAATGTTCAGTTGACAGAGTCTGAAATCAGGGGTCTGTGTCTGAAATCTCGGGAGATCTTTCTGAGTCAGCCAATCTTATTGGAGCTTGAAGCACCACTGAAAATTTGTGGTAAGTAGAATTGCTCTGAATAATTAATAATTGTTTTTTATTTCATAGACTACAGTGAGGGCTTTTTGTCCCATCAGATTGGGATTTTAACATTGAAAAAAAAAGTTAGTTGTGTATCCTTTATAAGACATTGTAAAACCAACCCTGGCATATTTTATTTCTGTTGAGCAAATGTTATGCTCTGTTGTTTACCATTGCTTTCTGAACGTCAGGTCCCTGTACCACTGTCGAAACCAATCCGCTGCTGGGATTGAACCCAGCATTATGGAGAGCATTTGCAAAGCATAAGCCACAGATGCGACAACATTGAAGCATGCTTGCTTAAAAATGCAAGTTTTGCAAGTACAGTGGTTACTGTACTTACCCATTCCTGATCTTTGGACTCATACCAAGCTAATTTCCCCATAAGAAATAGAGGGAGATGATTATTTCATTTCCATTTTTTTTAAAATCTTATTGTTGTTGGCATATTATATACATTGGTGGGGTTGTATAAAATAATTTAAACACTGCTTAATACTAAAAATATAAATACGGGAGCAGTTAGAACTTAGATGGAATAAATACAAGTTTAACATCACTCACCTTGCTAAGAAGGGAGCGGGTGGTGAAGCTATGTGTTTTGAAAGATCCTCCCCTTTCAGTAAAACTTCAGGAATCTGAAATTCTAGTGTTGGTTTTTTTTTTTTTTTTTCCTGTCTCTTTTTCCTACTTGGACCTGGTTGAGGCTCACCAGGTTTGACTTTTACTAAAAATCTGTAAAAACTTTGCTTCTGCCCTCTCCTCCTGATGTTTCGGAAATGTGACATTGGTCATTCCAGACAATGCTATTATGGATTGTTTGGACTTTTTTCTGGTGGTGCTTCTCTGCAGTGTTTTGACATCCTTCCATTTGGCAAACACTTCCTTGATTAGTGGGTGGGGGGGGGGGGTGTGAACAGTGTCATGACTCCTACATGTTCTAGCACGAGGGTCATACGTATTCCAAACAATGGTCATATGCCAGGCAGACTTTTTCTTGGCGTCTAAACTGAACCATTTCCAAGCTGGGCATATACCAAAACAGACGTGTGCTGCTGGACTTTGCTATAGTGGGTTTTTCGTGTTATCACCGCAGTGAGGGTTGGCTGCATTATACCCATTGCTGTCTTGGGGAATATTACATGTGCAGGCTCAGTCTCCTCTGTGTGACTCATGACACTGACTGAAAATTAGGAGGGTGGCTTTTAAAAAAAGAAACTTTATGGTAGTTGGTTGGTTAGCTGGTCGATAGATTATCCTTATTGCACATCAAGTCATTCAGTCCATAAGTGCTCAGATTCCCTCTTGAGTAAATCTTGCGGCATAAAGCAGCTGACGACACCAGTTCTGTTTTTGTTTCTTATTCTTTTTTGTTGGCTTCCTGCAGAATGCTCTTGTCTGGCCACATCCTTTTCAGCTTGTTGTTCTTGTAGTCTGATCATGGTTGCAGAGTCATAGTCACCACCTAGTTCTGGCAAACGTTTTACTTCCCGTAGAGCTTTAGCATGTCTGCCTGGTACATGGCTCTTCCGTCTTCCATAGTAGCTTTACCTACAAACCCATCAGCTTACTCACTTTCCTTGCATGTCGGCACCGACCGCTTTAGAGACTCTAACCACTGTCTTCGGACCCAACCCATATTATGTCTTCCTGGGCATACTCATTGAGTCACTGAAAAAGCATGTGAGGAAAAAAGTTTGTCTTTCCAGCCATGTTGTTGCTTTTGTCACTGCCATGACCTCCATAGTCAGACTTCTTGTGGTCAAGGCAACAGCACCGCAATTCTAACTCAAACCAGACCTTATGATGAATACAAACCCTTGTGGTCAAGCATCAGGGAATTGTTAAGTACCTTTACCAACTTCAAAGCCTTAGAGCCGCACATAGCTGTTTAACAAAGTAGATACTGGAAGGCAGGTGTTTGGGAATGTTATCTCAATTATCATTGCAAATAGAGCTTTCCACAGGCCTGCTCTGTCCCCCGGGTGCAGTAGTCATCCTAATACACCTTTACTGACTTCCCTTACGCAGTTGGTTATGTCTCCTGTCTTGATCATGATGTGGTTTTATGCATGCTTTGCTAGGTTCTCCTTGCAAGACAGGTTTTATTTTGGGTCGAAGGGATTGAGGGCTGGGTCTGAGGTGTCAGAGGCACCATTGGCCTGAAAATATGCGGGGCATGTTTACAGGAGAACGGAGGGGCTTTCCACAGATAGTGCCATGGTTCTATCTCTGCATCGCTTGTAGTTTGCAATATTCCCTGTACAAATGGAGCTCGTTAACCAGGTGCAGCATAACATTTAGCCAAAGAGACCTTGTTTTGAATATTTATACTGTGTGTGCATTTTGTGGATGTGGGATACTGGGGTAAGTTGCCGTGTTCTTTCCTAAACTAATGAGCAGTCTACCACTTTTTTATGACTGTGGGGGGGGGGTGGTCTTTCAGCGGGAAGATTCAAGGTCGCACAACTAGTGCAGAAAGTACAAACTGCAGGGTAGGATGTTTATTTTTATTCCCTAACAGAAAAGATTTGTCATCACTTTATTGAGGATTTGAGCCTGGATCCAGTAAGACCGCCTGATGTTCCAACCGTTCAGCAGCCACTTCTGGGCAGTCACGCAGCTAAATTTATTGTTTAACAAAAAAATTTAGTTTGCGCATGGAATAACATGAAATGGTGTTACACGTTTGGTTTTTCTCTGTTGATTTTCAGGTGACATTCATGGGCAATATTATGACCTCTTGCGTCTCTTTGAGTATGGCGGCTTTCCACCGGAGTCCAACTACCTCTTCTTGGGTGATTATGTAGACAGAGGGAAGCAGTCCTTGGAAACCATCTGCCTACTGCTGGCTTACAAGATCAAATACCCAGAAAACTTCTTTCTCCTGCGAGGCAACCACGAGTGTGCTAGCATCAACAGAATATATGGATTTTACGATGAATGTGGGTAGTTTTTTGTGTGTGTCCAATTTTTATCTTGTCTTACACAAGGACTTGTACCTTTTATTCCTTAATGGAGTGAAGGCCCACACTCAGCTCACACCAGGTTATGTTGTCATTTATTTTTTGAGTTAGTTGAGGTGATGTCATGTGTGTCACTAGATTCTTTTTCTGAGTGAACTCCAGTGTAACGTCCTTGTTATTCAACTTGACTTGTGGGGGGGTGGGGTCATGCACATTTATTTTGCAGGTCTAGCTTATTTGCATGCTGACTTTTGTTTCCTCGCTCTCGGGCAGATGCTCTTCTTACTTTGACAGAACACCCCTAACTTGTCTACTTTTTCAGCATTCTTTGTCGGGGGACTGTAAGGTTAGTCTTTTTCAGCCACTTTAAGCCCTAGAAACCACATGGGGAATCTGGTGCACCCAGACTGACCTAGGCCAGCCCCACCACCATGGATAGGTCTTGGTCCTGTTTTTATGCAGCATCACAAGTAGTGTTTCACCTTTTGCATCCTTCAAAAAGAAGAAGAGGAGATGAGCTACCATGCAGTGAACTTTAAAAAAAAAAACATAGGACGCTGACAGAGTTTGTTGCTGCCGAGACACAGTGGCTACTGCTTGCTTTGCTGAATGATCAAAAACTGCTGGAATACTGATGACTTTGTCTGATCCAGCGGGCTGTATTTTGTTGCTAGACAGGTGACAGTTGTGATCCCTGGGAGGGCCTGATCTAAGTGTTCCTGGACAACATATCACTGTTCCCTCTCTCTCTACAGTGCTGGCCCCCATCTATTTTAGCAGATCAGAGAGGGTTTCAGGATGTGTTCCAGCACAAGATGTGTGAAGTCAGTGCAGTTACAGGCTTGTTTAGTGTCTGTCACCAAAGACTGCTAGAAATTATATTGGTTTAAGTAAATATAACATGTTTTTGTTTATAATTTGCATTTTATTTTCTGTGTCTAGGCAAAAGGCGGTACAATATCAAACTGTGGAAAACATTTACAGACTGTTTCAACTGCTTGCCGATTGCTGCTATCATTGATGAGAAAATCTTCTGTTGCCATGGAGGTATGTACTGTGGGTTTTTTCATTGTGGAGCTAATTGTCCACTTGCTCACTGTATGTAGGTGTTTAACTGTTTAGGGGACAATGCCAGTTTAGAATAAGATCCAAGTTTATATTTTTCACTCTGTGAATGTGCTGATTGTTATATTTATTTCTCTCTCACCTCTATGGTCTCTTTCTCTCTCACAGATCACTGACACTTTTTTTTTAAAGCAGCCTTTCAGAAATGAATCTCAGCTTTCAAATGCTTTTTGAATGGGCAAGTGGATCTTCTTTGTGCTCAAGGCTGAGAGCCCTGGTTGTTTGTCCACTTCTGAACTGTAGTTTTAGTCCAGGGTTTGAGTGGTGCGCGCATATTCATTTTTAGCTGTATGCTGTTGGTTCCTCACTTCTCAGACAGATGCACTCCAACTACGGTGGTAATATTGGTCCTGTCTTCAGTGATCAGGCTCCTGGTAAGGGACCTGCTTTGGGTGTAGATAGTTCTTGACTGGCTTGAGCCCTCAGTTCCTAGTGCACCAGCGTGTGTGATTGGTACCTCTACATCCCTGGACACACATGATCCTTAACATTGCTCTTCTCTTCTTTCTCTTCCTAGTGCACCAATGTTTGTGATTGGTACTTGTACATCCCTGGACACACATGATCCTTAACATTGCTCTTCTCTTCTTTCTCTTCCTAGTGCACCAGTGTGTGTGATTGGTACCTCTACATCCCTGGACACACATGATCCTTAACATTGCTCTTCTCTTCTTTCTCTTCCTAGTGCACCAGCGTGTGTGATTGGTACCTCTACATCCCTGGACACACATGATCCTTAACATTGCTCTTCTCTTCTTTCTCTTCCTAGTGCACCAGCGTGTGTGATTGGTACCTCTACATCCCTGGACACACATGATCCTTACATTTCTTTTCTCTTCCTAGTGCACCAGTCACACCGTGTGTGTGATTGGTACCTCTACATAATGATCCTTACATTCTTTTCTCTCCCTAGTGCACCAGCGTTTGTGATTGGTACCTCTACATCCCTGGACACACAGATCCTTAACATTGATCTTCTCTTTTCTCTTCTAGTGCACCAACGTGTTATTGGTGACCTCTACATCCCTGGACACACATGATCCTTACATTTCTTTTCTCTTCCTAGTGCACCAGCGTGTGTGAGTTGTACCTCTACATCCCTGGACACACATGATCCTTACATTTCTTTTCTCTTCCTAGTGCACCAGCGTTTGTGATTGGCATCCCTGGTCATGATCCTTAACATTAGGTGCCATCTCTAGTGCACCAGTGTGTGTGATTGGTTACCCTGCATCCCTGGACACACATGATCCTTACATTTCTCTTCTTTCTTTCTCCTAGCTTTGTGATTGGTTTCATCCCTGGACACACAGGGTCCTTACATTTCTTCTCTCTTCCAGACACTTACTGAGTTTCAGGTAGAAAGTGAAGAAGAGGCAACACTTAGAATTGCCTTATGCTTTTCATTCCTCGTGAGGCATAATTGGTTGCTGCTTGTGTTTTCAGTTGATTGCAGTCAATCAATTAGGTGCCATCTCTACAATGATTTCCTGCATGTAATCTCCAGCTTTCTCCCTGGATGTGCACTTTGTCAGACTGGCAAAATGTATGAGACAGACTATCTATCATGGACTTTTCAAACAAAAACTAAGTTTTGACTTTCATTTCAGGCCGGCTTTTTGCTATTTGTTTAGTTACTTATCAATTAAAGAGTATAAAAAAAGTTTACATACTTTGTTGTAGGTGAACCTAAATTTTACTTTGTTTTGCTCATTTTAAATGTTTGTGTATTCATGTACATGATTTTATTTTTCTGCGGTTAAGTTAAGACATAGTACATTGAACCTAACATGTGAATATATTTTTTTTTTTTTTTTTGACTACCCTTTTTTTTTTAAATGTCTGAAACCTGCAGTAAAATACATTTATTTTTTAAAAAAAAAACTATAAAAGTACTGACCTGTATTAAATGTCAGAAAATATTAATAGGAGCGGATGTTCATGTAAAAAGTGTCTTTAATAATTTGGGTGGGGTAGAAACTAAGTATTTATAGAACTCCTGCATGTCTGGCTTTTTTATTATCTGTTCTACCTTTCGCCATTAGGCCGGATATTTTGGAGTCGCTCTAGTTTGTTCCATTTGTTAATTACCTTCTCATTGCCATGCTTCCTGGAACATAATCTTAACTTTGTGTTCTATATGTTTGGGTAGCTTCACATAATGTCTTCTATTGACCAGGCTTAAGCCCAGACCTGCAGTCCATGGAACAAATCCGGCGAATCATGCGCCCAACAGATGTACCAGACCAGGGCCTGCTGTGTGACCTCCTGTGGTCTGACCCAGACAAGGAAACTATGGGCTGGGGAGAGAACGACAGGGGTGTCTCCTTCACTTTTGGAGCCGAAGTCGTAGCCAAATTTTTACACAAACATGATCTGGATCTCATCTGTCGAGCCCATCAGGTATGTCCTGATGTTGCTTGTTGGTATACATGTCACACTTTTTGTTTTCTCTCTAAAAAAATTTTCTTGTCAAATATGGCATATAGCATCTATGTAAATCAAAGTAACAAGTGATATAACATCTTTGGCTTTTTCAAGTTTTTTTTTTAATTTGTTTATGTACAGTTAGAGGGGGGTGTTATTGTAACAAATTATTACCAGTGCAAAGGTACTCTAATTTAAAAATTGCTTTAAAATTTTATTTCTGACACCCCCGGGTGGCAAACCACTGGCTTAGAGGTAAGCGGCCACTCTGACATTTCCATGACTTTTAGATGCTGGGGGTCTGTCTGTTCCCTTGGCCGGCAGTTTATTTTTAAAATTTTTTTTTTTTTTTTAACTGAACAAAAAGTGGCATCCTGCTCACAGAGGCTTGTGTCACTTGATTTATTCTGGAGTATATATTTTCTGTCTTGTGCCTACAGATGTGCTGGGTAATGAGTACGCTGAGTTCAGTCAAGTCAAGAATTGACATCACAGCACTCGGGGCATTCCCATGTGTGCTCCGTTCTCATCTTCAGCAACCAGCGCAGAGTCCCAATACTGATGGTGCCGGTCACAATCTGGTTATAATCTGTCTTGCCTTTCCTCTTATTGTAGCGAGTCGGCCAAACCCTCTGGTTACACTCAGGTCCCTCATTCTCTCCAGACCATAATAATCTTGTTTCTCTACTGATTTCGTTACTTGTTCCCAAAGGGCCTTGACAACATCTGCTTTGTCATGCATCGAGTACGCTGATAGGTTGGCTACTGCTACTGGTAACTATGATAAAAAGACACTGAAGGCTGCCTGTGGTTAGATGGATGGTGTAATAGTTTAGAGTATCCATCCTTAAACAGACAGGCCTAATGCACAGGAAAATCGTTAAATTATTATTCTTTACGTTCACCCACCTCTCGACTTTTAGACTTGTTCCAGAACCTGAGTGTTGCATGACTTATTTATATGCGGACTGTTAGTTCCTTGCATCGGGCAGGTTGCACTCCGACTTTGGAGGAAACCCCAATTTATCGGCTGTTACGACATGCGTGTTGGGGAAGCAGTGGGTCTATTCTTGCCCCCCACCACCCAAATGGGGATCCAGAAACCCGCACTGGGGAGGGGGGTCGTTAGATTAAAACGCTGAGCAGTAATACATGAAAAGCCATCGTTAAATATTATTTTATGACATTTAATTTAGTTCTAACAAAGTACTTGTGTTGTCCATCTCTCAGGTGGTTGAAGATGGCTATGAATTTTTTGCTAAGCGACAGCTGGTGACTCTGTTCTCGGCACCAAACTACTGTGGAGAATTTGACAATGCTGGGGCCATGATGAGTGTCGACGAGACACTGATGTGTTCCTTTCAGGTAGGTTTGGTTCCCATACTACCTTTCTCACCAATTCAGCTTTAGTCTTAATAATAATAAATGTGGCCCGGAGGACCGGGTGTGCTTCTCTGAAGACCTTGTTCGTGGCCCACGCTGAAGTAGATGGATAGCAAATGTTGATTGTTACAGAAGTCTTGACAGTTATATTATACTGCTCAGAAAGGATTAGAAGAATAGAAACGCATGTTTTTAATAATTGATGGGATTATCCATGTGCTAAAAAAAATAAACTGATTGATTGGCTGAACCCTAATGTATTCTTATGCCAAAAGTATTCTTGAACAGGTACTCTCATTAAATAATAGATTTTTTTATGTTACAATGATGTTTCTTTCAGTTTTTTGTTGTTATTGTGAATAGGATAGATAGAGGCCAAGATTTGACGACTGTCTGTAGAGAGACATGTGATACAATATCAGTAGAGGCGTTTGAATCTGGGTCCAGCAGGAAAGTATATGAGGGGAAGATAGCAACCTCTCAACAAATAAGCTGCTGAAATAGTCAATATGCACTTTGGTCAGTAGCTGTGGATATGTCTAGTGTGCTGTTGTTTTGATTTGAAATCAGTCATTAAAATTATTTTCGTGTGTGGTCTAGAGCTGTCGTGGTGTAGTGGCTAGATGCTCCACCTGTGAATCAAAAGTTCATTGTTGCGATCCTTTTTTTTTCCACAAATGACCTTGGCTTTTAAGTGGACCCAGCCTTGAGTTGGTACCAGGTACAGCCAGCGTTGATGGGTCTGTAAACTATAGGTCTAGCGCTATATGACCAACAAGCCGTAAGGCGTGGGGGAAACAGATCCTGCCACATGTAGTGATCGCTGGCTCAGGACACTTGGTGTATACTGGTATCAGTCTCGGGTATAGTTCTTGCACATGTAACGCAGGCCAGTAGCAGAGAGAGATATGGGTAGTACAAAAGTACACAGGGTACTTTCTCACAACCCAGTACAGTATGCTCCTCCTTCGCTGACTATAAACTCCAGCGGACACGTTTTGGTTGTTTATCTACTTCTGGACTTTAGTCTTTTGTTCTACAGCCTGAATGCTATATGCGCATCCTTTTAAATATCTTGCTTATTTGTATGCAGGCTGGAATGCAGGCAGATGCACTCCGACCTCGTAGGACACCCATGGTTGTCTTTCATGACATGCTTGTTAGGGAGGCAGTGGGTGTATTCTAGTTTTCCCCCACAATGGGGCCCCTGAACCCACACTGGGGGAAACGAAGACATAATATAGTTTGGGTACTGTGAACTTTGTACTTAGAACTCCTCTTCATTCTACAGGGTTCTGGAGAAAAAAGAATAGGCTCTCTGCCCCTAACAAGCATGTCATAAGAGTCTGAATAGTTAGGGATGTTACCTTTGAAGACAGAGTGCATGTGCCTGAAAGGTGAGAAACCAACAGTCTGCTTGCAAATGAGCAGATCTGTATGCAAAACTAGTTTTGTGGCTTTGGTAGTTGAAAAGCCATTTTTTTTTCTTAACTTTAGTTCATGCTGGATTGTTTTCCTTCTCCAGATTCTGAAACCAGCTGACAAAAAGAAATTCCCATATGGAGGCTTGAATGCAGGCAGGCCTGTAACACCACCACGTGGCAACCAAAAGGCTAAAGGAAAAATGTAGGCACAAGGAGGCCTGGTGCACTCAATCTTTGTTTAGCGCATTCTCAAGGAATTAACTTGTTTGGGGGGTTTATGTTTTCCTCTGGGTCTCACTTCATGCTGTTGGGGTTGATAAGAATAGCATTGTACTTTTTGTAGTCTCAACATCACAAACAGTGATTCAGCTTGGACAGTTTCGTAAATTTTGTTGTTAAAATAAAATCATGGTATTTTTGATAAGGCATTCTTGATACTTATGTTTGCAGCGTTGCTACCATCTAGAGAAAATTGTCTTGCTGAGAGTCATCTCTCTCTCTCTCTCTTGCTCTTTTTTTCTTCTGTAATGTTGAGCTGGGATGTGCTTTTTATTCATGACCGTGTCCCAATATGGCGGCTTATTCATCAACAGTATGTGCTTTTGCTCTCCCAGAATCCTTTAGTGAAGGTGGTGGTATCTGCCACGGATATCCTCGGGTTGCTAAATGTGTGTGGATGCGACGGGCTTGGGGCAGTTGCTCTATTGTTGATTCACTCTTCTGACATGGTTGTGGATATTTCAGTCCATTTCCCTGGTTTTTTTTTTAAGTTATAGTTTAAGATGAAAAGACAGATCTTCTAAAGTAAAGAAACTTCAAAATCTAAACTTTTTTTTTTTTACAGATAAAAGGATGTAAATACTCATATAACATTGATTTAACAAACTTTTCTTTTTACTTATTTTTTTTTCTCTTTTGTTATGTGGCTCAAAATGTATGTTTTATGTGAAGAAAGTGTTCTATGTGTCAGGATTTCTTTCAATTTCATTTCAAAATATTAATAATACTAAATGAAAGTTGTGACAATACATTTGTGACAGCTCAGCTGCATATGGTGTTTCTCTGAATTTTTTTAGTGTTATGTTTTGTTATCTGCTCCATTTTTCTATCATTGATAGTGTTGTACTGTCGGATGCCGTTAAATCTTCTGGCAGGGGGCTTTGTGTAGTGGCTAGGTGCTCGCCTCCGAGCACAAAGATCCCGAGTAAATCTATATTGAGCCGGAATTATTGTTTTCAGTATAAGCTTTGTTTTTTTTTTAGCCAAAGTAGGCGTTGTGAAGACATATCGTTGTGCCGGGATTAATCGCAACTGCAGACAGATCGCCTACATTGATTTTAACAGTGGTACCTACAAACAATGGTTTAGACTGAGAGCAATGGCGAACTACTAAATGTTAATTTGCCAAGAAAAACCACAACAGTTAGAAAAAGCTGGAGTTGGTTCTGCAAAGGATACGATTTTTTTGGTCCTCTTTAGTTTGTGTTAAACCATTCGCCTTATACTCTGCAAGCTGAAGGTCCAATTCTGAACCCGGAGCTTTAGTTTGCAAGTGCAGACATTTCTGAGAATCTGTGGGGATCATTTCTGGAGCTGCAGAGTTTATGCTGTGTGCAATGCTCTTGCATGCAACCAGCCATTCTTTAAACCCATCACTTTGAATTCAACGATCTCACCTTTGTTAAACTGGTCTAAACGTCACTTTTTTCTAGAAAAATAGGTGCGTGTACTCACTACAAAGTCTATTACCGTAGTGCTGACAAAAGGTGCCGGTACTGCAAAACACTATGAAGAAAAGCCCTGCATCGTAATATAATGCCTCTGAATATTTCTTGGCTGTCGAGTTGCCATCTTTGATGAAACATTCTTTTGCATTCGCCCTTATAAGGGCAGATAGCATGTGGTGCTGTGGTTTACAGAGAGGCTGTGATATCCTTTCGACCTTGATATCTACGACTTTCTGCCTATCACAGTTGCAGCAAAATCCTAAAAGTTCCTATTAGGGCAGGCTTGTCGAGCCATTGGGGTTATTTTTTTATATTTGGCCCTAGAATCCACACAGGACAAAACCAAATATGTTTGTTCTCACACAGTAGAGGCTAGAACTGGTATCATTCTTCATATTTGGACATTTTGAGCTGTCATTTTATCAATTTTACAGTTTCATTCATGGGTAGCTGACATTCGTAAACTGTTGACTAGATGATACCCCAGCCTGTTATGTTAATTTTAATTGTATGTGTCATTGGTGAATTACATGAATTCGTTATTGTTGGATATAACCTAGATATACTAGAAATGTTGCTATCTGTAACAATTAGTAGTGACTTACAGAGTCGCAGCCATGATAGCACTGTAGTTAGTGCATAGGCTTACCTAGATGGTAATCTGGGGTTCGGTTCTCAATATTAAAAAAATTTTGTAAACTTTATTTTTCTGTGGTCAACACTGTTATGCTTTTGTTTTGCCCTTAGAATGGTGGGTTTTGTGTTGTAGTTATCTAAGATGGGATATCTCTACCTGTTAGGCCCAACACATCCAGTTTCAGAAGATCCTCATTTGCCTTTGATGGCATGCTTGTTACAATGGCAAACTACTGAACATAATTTTATCTAGAACAACCACATCAGATAAATGCTGGGGTTGGTTTTGCAGCGTAAAGGACACAAACTTTTATTACGAGGCAGTAGGTCGACCTTTTCCCTCCAAAAGTAAGGTTCTGAAGCCCACACGGGAAAACAGCTATACATTTTGGACTAAAAGAGGTTCCATGTGTTGGTTGTGAGCAATAGTCTGAATTCTGACATTACAAGTTTGAGGGTAAACATTTACAGCTATAGATTTACAATCGGACAGTTACTGGTGCCGTCGGAATTGGAACTCTTTGCTTGCTGCGGCAGATAGGGATTGAGCGCTTATGGGAAGGCCCCAAATGCTGTGATGTTGGTCTTAATTCAATGTCGGTGAAGAAATGTGCCCTGACTAAGTATATGCGGTCATGGTTTCAGCCATTTTATGTAGCAGTAGTACATTTACCTAGTAATATATGGCTGCACAGGGGCATAGAAATAAAGGAAGGCCACACACACGAAAAACAGAAGTGAGCTGGAGAATTAAGTTAAAGGGTGAAGAGAGCTGCATGCAATAGCAAAAGATAGAATGACTTGGCATGAGTTGGTTGAGGGCCTTTGCTCTATTGGGGGCTAAGGCAGAAAGAAGTACATTTTGCACGACCTCCAAAAAGTGTTTGATATGTCCTCATGAAAGTCGCAAATGGGGGAGAGTGGCTGAACAAGTATGGAAAATGATTACGCTGCAAGTTTTGTCTACTTTGGTTAGTCGTCTTGTTAAAATTAAAGGTGTTAGAATTAAAGCAATGTTTCCCGGTTGTAAATTTTCACAAAGAAAACACAAACAATAGACGGTACAATTTTTTGCATGGCATATTTCGCTGTATCTCTTCAGGTGCATACTGCAGTAACAATTACATAAATGAAGCAAATCAGTAAATCCTTTATAACTGAAGTACAAATTCAACAACAATCAATCACAGCTGTCTGTTTTACAAGATCAGTGAAATTGTGACAACAGAGACGAAATGCCTTAGAAGAGCTGCAGGAGTTTCAAGGAAAGACAGAATATGAAATCAATTGAATGCTAGGAATAAAGCCAGTCTCACAAGTCATCAAAGAACAACAAATGAAGTGGTCTGGACACTTAACAAGTATGCCCCTAAAATGTTACAACGGGCATAGAGCGAGTGGAAGACCTCACAAAATATGGAGTGATGGCATTAAGAACAGCTTTACAGAAAAGAATGTCAGTCTTAATAGTGCTCTTGACAGAGCTTATCAATGAATGTTACACTCCCTCCTCCAACACTTTGCTGCAGAACAAGGTAGAAGAGAAGTGGTGCAGTGTCAGTATCATATCTTTTTGTTTACAAAGTTCAGGGCATTGTTCACTTATTAAAATTAGACAGACAAGTCGTAGTACAGTTGATCCTGATTGATGTTAATAATGATGAGCCCAGTGACAAAACTGATGATGAATCAGTTGCCTGCCATTCTGCCCATAACTACTAGATAGAGGTGAGCAGAGGCTGGTTGCAGTTTAGTTGTTATTTAGCAGCGGACATGTTGCAAGATCACGCCTGTCCGGTTTTTGTATGTTGCTAACCTGTTCTTATTTATACCTTAGCTATGTTTATGGTTTGTTAAGAACAAAACAAAAAAATGTATTTGTGACACATCTAGGCAGTTTTTGTTATCTTTGTGAATGTTTGTTAAGTTCATGTGGGAATATTGTTTGTGAGATCAAGAATAGACCCGCTGCTTCTCCAACACGCATGTCGTAACAGCCGATTAATGGGGGGTTTCATTCCAAAGCCGGACTGCAACTGCCTGATGCAAGGAACAAACAGTCTGCATTCAAATAAGTAATGCAACACTTGTTCTGGAACAAGTCTAAAAGTTGAGAGGTGGGCGAAGGTGAAGAATAATCATTTAACGATTTTCCTGCGCACTAAGCCTGCCTGTCTAAGGATGGATACTCTATTGCACTGTCCTTTTTTAACCACTGACAGCCTTCAATGTCTTTGTATCATAGTTACGAGTAGCAGTAGCCAACATATCAGCGTACTCATTACGCAGCACATATGTTATGGGCTCAAGTCGTTATCCAGAACTTGAGTTTTGCATACGGATCTGGTTCATTTGTGACATGCTAATAGCAGCCTGATTAAAAGTCTGCCTGTTTTCCTCTCAGACAGCATTGAATATCTGCAGAACTTCCTCCACAACCCACCTGTTGAATTAGTTTTTCAGATTCTCTGTTTTATTGCACTGTCTGTCTGATCCTATAGAAGCTTCCCCACTCTTTATTATAAAGTAGCTTTCTGTCCAGAGAAGCGGCAGCAGCTAGTCTATCAGCCTGCTCGTTACCCCGCATGCATGAATATCCTAGACAAATATCCATCATATGCTCCTGATCTGAGTCTTATCAATTGATGCAAGCCACTCTGTGCGCAAGATGCCAGTTTCAGTTTTGACCCAGCCAAGAATGCACACCAGGAAAAAGTCCTGGGAAGTAAAGTTGCCCGGCTGAGGGCTGATCGGTCTATAACAATTCTCGAGTCTAGACTAGCATCGTATGCACCACTGATGTGGGTAGAAAGGGTCCATTGTCTATTTCTCTTTTTCTGTTG